TCAAACTCTCCACAAATTGGCTTGAGCTTCCCTCGAAGGGCCCGGCAAGCATTAACTTACCTGATATGAGGAAAGCAAAAGTCAAATGAAGTTCAACTTCCGTGATCGTGGGTGACAAAGACCAATTAAATTATTTTCGAAGTCAAACCTATCATAAGAGATCGATTTCGCTGGGCTAGGCCCCGTGAGGCGTACAGAATTGTCAGACAATTCTCTTCCAGGTTGAGGAACGTGTCTCGATCTGATGTCTGAAGGTGTAAGACAGCAGAGCACTAACACGGATTTTCTCGTTCGGGGAATTCGTCCGTTTCAACACTATGCATTGAATGTGGCCGAAGGGGGGCTATTTGGATGCAACGGGAGGAGACTGTTGCTCAACTGCCCCCCTGCTAGCATTGCTAATTGGAGCCAAATATCTGGGTTAGTGATCGATCGATCGAAAGTCTGAGTGCAATCGCTACCCAATCGAGTAAGCAATAACTAGTCGAAGGCGAAAGCGTCCGTTGGACGCTTCGAACGCATCTGTTATACACATATCATGGACAGATTTCCTCTTTTCCTAGAGCACTATGATCGGGGCTTCAGTTTCATTGTCTTCAATAGTCTGTTGCCCTTTCTGATAACATTTTGCTCACCACGGCAGGCTACAGAGCAATGAGCAACTGAGAAACCCAACACTTATAAGTTACCCAACGAGCTATAGTCTTGCGGCTGGAGCAGCAAAGGAACAGGGCAATGGAAACCCCCATTGAGAAAGAAAGACAGTAATCAACCAGCGCCTACATTATTATCTAAGGCTAAATTGACTTTGCAACGGATGTTGAATGATCATCAGGAATGTTGATCAAGGTGGTGATGACGATGGTGCCACCCACAAACGGCTATGCCCGAGATCTCGAGCAAGGGAAAGCGGGGAGCGTTGTATTGTACCATGGTACTGTACAAATCACGCAGGCACGACTATACTTTGCTGCACACTCTTCTTCCCCTCCTTCTATCTCATCTTTTCCTCCACAATGCTTTTCGTTTTACAAACTAAATTATTCCCCTCCCTGCCCCCCGCCCCTTCATGTCGAATGACAAATAGCTTCAAATCGCAAGTGAAAGCAAAGGGCCCAGCAGCCTGATCCAAAAGTTCTGGTTCCTCGCTGCAGGAGGGGAGCTGACCATGGCTCGCGTCAGCTGGAAATTCCGCACGCCGTGCTTCGGGGTGAATGGCAGGCTATACTTTAGCTGCGATCCCAACTGTGCATATCTTTTGGGCTAGCTGCAGCTGGCGAAGTGTGTTTGCAGGTGTTTTGCTGATGCGCGATTCCATTTCCCCACTAAGATCGTTCTCAGATCTCCAGGGTCGGAGACTATCCTTCCTTCTAACGCAGCCGGTGCTGACGCTAAAGGTGCCTTCTGTCCAGCGAGGTTCTCCGTTGGAATTGGCCTTGATCCTGGGTGGGTATGTGTGTATCTACTCCGGCCTTGTCTTGAACCTTGTTTGATCAGGGCGACAATCTGACGACCTTGGAGAAGATTATGTTGGTCAAAGAGGTCAAAGCTCCCTGTATGTTACCAGGTATTGAATCAACGATCTGGGAACTGTGCCAACTTCGATTCCAGTATGTTTGTTTGACATACCTTGGGTTCAACATTCGGATCTAAGTATCGATCACAGGTAGCATTTTGCTGCCTTACCAAGCAGCTCGTCATGGGTCGCAACGTTGAAGTTACAGTGTCGAGGCAAAACACCGCAGCGTCGGTAGTATGGATAGAATTCCTTCTCACGAAAAGCGTGGTAGATGGCCATCGCCTTCGATTCTTCTCTTCATCCACAGAAGCTTAAACCCGTAAGAATATATTTCTGTCTATCCAGCCTCTGTAATAATATTTTAGTTGAGTGTGATGCATTTTCCTTCAGAAAACAGGGAGAGATCCCGGTGACTGGGGTGCTATACCACATGTTTTTCAATTTCTCGCACCAGATATGATGACCAGAAAACAACTTCTTCCCATCTACACATTATCTATCTACATTTGATAATATTCGGGACAGCAAACACCGGCGTAGATTTTTTACTTAGTCAAGAGCCACTTCAATTCGGTGAAATATCTTTTGAGCGTCCCGTGTTCGTTTTCCGCACCGAAAATAGAGGCACATTCCCTCAGATTGCGTAGCGTGCGATCTCTGGATCTTGATATCCGGACCACTTATCGTTGCCCCGATATTAACATTGATTAACATTATCTTCTGTCCCCTCCTCAGACACGGTGCACCACCCCTCTTTTGGCTTGCCCCTGCTCCCGTCGGCTCCGAAATCGTTACATACCCATACCGATTATCCGTGGTCCGAATGTTCCATGATGTTTGGTTATGACATTGAGCCCCAGCTATAGGTATGGACTCGACGAGCCATAAACCGGATTTCTTAGTTGACGTACAGTAGAGCATAAACTATAAGGATAGAAGTTTTGACCTACACCCGACACTGGTCAAGGTTCATCGAATCCAAAACTTTTAGGTAGGGAGCTGAACAAAACCCAATATACAGGATCGATCCTATTTTTGCAAAAAAAGAAAAAATAAATAGAAATGTAGAACGGGTAAGCTATTCTCTAATCTTCCTCGAGTCCTCGATACCTGATGATTTTGGAGCAAGATACCCGGCGCTTACAGATGCTGTTAGATTCGCCGATTCTATAATGTAACATGTTATGAAATAATACCGGATTGTAACGAGGGAGAAGCTGGTTGCACTTATAGATAGTGAGAAGTGGCAGGAGCTAAGCACTAATTAGTACTAGCATGCTAATCTGGAAAGCAATGGTATTGTAGTACGTATCTTGAATACGTAGCATTTTGATTCAGTCTCTTGCAGAATTACAAGAAAAAATAACCAAAAGGAAAAAAGAAAAGAAAATATTTTTCAAGGCCAGGGACAACGCCCCCCCTGGTAAGGCTCCATCGCTCCACTGCGATATCCGCCCATCGCCAATATGATTTCAACCCACTCCACACTTTGTGGAAGATCCGCAGTTCGCAGCCCGTAAAGCTTCTGTAATTCGCCGTAACTTTAAAGTGGTCACGACCGCCAGCATGATTCGACGATCTCATAGTCCGGTCTGGCTCCTCCACCTGCCTGTCTTTCTTCCATCCATTTTCCCAGGTCTGAGCTCATCTGTCTTGGCCCGATGTACTGACTACTTCGTCCTAGTACGTAGCTCCTGTTTGGATCCTCCCGTATCTCGTGTGTGTGCGGGCCCTGGGTGTTGAAGTTGTATTTCTTTGGTCAAGCATAATTTTAATTTCGATCTCTATTTTCTTTTTTTCTTTTTCCTTTTTTCCTTTTTTTTTTTTTCCCTAAATTCCCTTTTCGAAAATAATATTCACAGAAATAATAATTACAATAGTAATAACAATAATCATCATCATGATAATAATAAAAATATTCTTTACCAGTACTAAGTCAACTATTCTAGTCTTCTGCGGATGCTGCTCCTTCCATCTCCATTGTTATTCTTCCTCTTATGTTCCTACTTACCCTGCTGGTGCTGCCGACTACCCACCTCACCCTCTTTCTCTTCTTCTACACCTACTAATATCTTCTGCGCAAGTCTTCTTTGACTTTCTTCTTTTCCTTTAATTCCAGCATTCCAATCGTGAGGGAGATTCTCCTTGTTCTTTCGCGAGCCATCTTAGATCCTGTTACTAATCCCTCCATATTTTGCTACTCTTCCTCCCCCCCCTTGACATTTATCAAATCATCCTGTCCCCGCCTTCTTTTTCCTTGGATCTTCCCGGACACGCCCTTGTGTCCGCTTGTCATCCCACCTTCATATCTTGCCTGCCTCCGCCGACACTGATCCATTATTCTTCTCTTTCACACCAGCCCGCCCTTGTGCTTTCTATCAATCGATAGTGACGGGAAAGGAAAGGTCGGAGATCTATCAGACAGATTACAAAGACTCAAGGCAGGGAAGGAAACAAGACCAGCCAACGTCTCCCTTTCCACGCGACGCATTCACCTCTATCCCTTGCATTTACTGCGCCTCCGCCGCTCCCGCGAACTCAAACATTGTCAAATCGATCTTTTCAAAAGACTGTACACGAAGCAAAAATCCTGACTGCAGAACCTCAATCTGGAATCCGAGGAGTGCAAGCCTTGGCTGGGAGTGCAAGCCCAGTCAGTTAAAACAGGAAGGGTAACTCTGAGTTCACTGCGCGCTGCGAGTGCGTGTCATTTTGTTGTCGCCGTCCTATAGTTCTTAGCACTTGATAATCGCGGCTGCTCTAAAGGCGATCGCATTGCCACTAATCCTCACGGAGTCTGTTCCACACCTTGCGCTGACTTCAAATCGCCGCTCTCTGTCGCCTTTTTCCCCTAAGCCAGTCCGACGACCCATTGGGAGTCCCTTCCTACAACTTTCGCCCGCTATTCCGCTTTCCACACCTACAACCGCCACCACTCCCGATTACACACCTGTGGAGCGAGGCGACTTCATCATTCATCTCTACATTTGCTTAATCTCGCAGTCGTCTACCCGAAGCAAATTCTTATCGCGGATCCCAGCTTTTCTGACGAGCATCCACACTCCGCCGAAGATCTCGTTGCTTGCCTTTATTTCTTCCGCCTTCGCCGGGCAACCCTCACCGTCTAAATCGCCCCGACAGACTCGCGCGATAGATCGCAACTCATAGCGAATCACACACAGGACCGAGAGTCAAAGACACAGTGGATGAAACCCTCGTATCCATTCGATTCCCTCTATCTTGCTGTAATCTACTGGCATGATGGGATCGTTAGAAGCTGAGCACAGGCACAGGTATGTCTCTTTTTAGACGGGGCTCATGGGAGTTCAGCTTGTCAAATGGCAATGCCACTGCATAGAGCCAACGTTCGTCGGATAATTTTACTGACAAGTCAACACCTCAATCTAGAGAGCACCTCCCCGTACTGGGATTTCTCGGAAAAGACGGACCAAACTACAGCGCAAAGCATCCTTCCGCCGCCATGGGCCCGACATCTTCCCCGACACCACTTTTGAGTCCAACATCCATGTATCCGTCGCAATCCCTACCCTATTCTTTCTCCACATCCGCCAGCACAAGCTCATTACAAGGTGGATACATATCACCGCCAGATTCACGGCGCGCATTCGAGGAGGAGAAGGAAAAGCCGCCGCAGAGACAATCGCTTCCGTCGATTCATGAGGCTTTGGGAAACGATAATCCGTTGCCCTATCCTGCGCCCACATCGGCTCCCCCACAACAGGCTCACCATGCACCCCACCCTCCCCCCTTGTCGTCTAACGTTGCTGGGCGACCGGGCACAGAGGGGCCTCCTGGACCACCTAACCCGTTCTCAAACGGCGCCTCGTCCGGCACCTTCATGCGCGAGTCAACGTTTCCCCACCAACCTCAGTTGCAAGCGGAGGCGTCGCGGTCGAGTTTGGCCTCAATCAACACCCAGGACTCGAGAACCACATCTCTACAGTCGCTAAGCTCGGGAAAGTCACCTACGCAGAGTGCGAAGACTGGTCTTACTTCATTATCCGGATCCCAGACTGGTTCTGGCTATGAGTACAGTGCACCTCCTTCTGCCGGCAGTGTGGCTTCTCCCAACGGATACGGCACTTTCTCGCAGTCCTTCCAGTTTCAGTCACAACCTCCTCCGAATGCGCCATCATATCCATCCACTCCTTATGATACTCGACCCTATGGCGGAACAGGCTGGAAACCAGGAATGCCTGATACCGGCCGTGCTGAGGAAATGAAGGGGGTGATTCCAGCTCGCCCTCCATTGGCTGGGCATCATTACGGTGAACCCGTTAAGCGTCATCTAGACATTTATGACGTGGAGACCTCACTGAATGAAATAGCTGATATTAGCACTCGGACTCTGGATTTCTCGCGTCACTATGCAGCAAGGGCGCATCAAACGCAGCGCTCTGGTCCAGTAACGGGGTCGTTGCCACTTCCGCACGAGATTGAGGAGATGCTCAATCTACAACGCCGCAACCAAGAGGCTTTGCTTCGCATACGAACTGCAGTGCTGAACGAACATGCTTTGGCTGAGCAAATGGCGCAAAGGAAAGTTTTCAAACCCAGCGGTGTTCATGGTGAGGATCACGTGGCAATGTACCAAGAAGATTTCAAAACCAATGGTGGATTCGCGGGACCTGATTCGAAAAAAAGACGAGGGGTATGTTGATTCGTTCACCAATCACCAATCCATGATATCATTTATCTTGCCACCTAGATAGTGCTAACAGTGACATCTGCAGAAAGCTGCTCCCCCCGGGCGTTGCCATAGCTGTAACCGAGCCGAAACACCCGAATGGCGCCGTGGTCCGGACGGAGCGCGAACCCTGTGCAATGCTTGCGGGTTGCACTACGCCAAACTGACGCGCAAGATGGGCGCTAATAAAGCTGCGTCCATGGGTTCAAATCTGAGGCCCAAGACCTCACTCGACACCTCGTCACCGAACAGTCATTGAAGTTATTATCAGCTCATCACTCGGCGTTGGGACTGGCTTTGAAATTAGAAGCATCAGGCGTTTCGAGCCCCGGTTGCTCTTCTTCATCACATCCTCTTGAATGGTTTTATGTGGACTTTCTGCGGTTCGCTTCCAGGTTGGCTGGTTGCCAAGATGTCCCAGCACAGGGACTTGCTTTGATTTTCTCCGGATGTTTCGTGGATTTACTCTAATACCCCCTGCACGACGAGTTAAAAGGCATTTGGGATAGACTTGTTGCTTTTTGTTGTTATTTCCTGTTGTTTATATCCTTTCTATTGCGGCTGGTTATAATCTGACGCTACAGGCCTTGCATGTGCTTTGTTTCTGCTTCAGCTCTGTCCCACTTGTTCGGCTCTACAGATCGTTCTGTTATACTCTTGTTCTGGTTTTACACTTATACCCCCGGTTCGATCGATCTGAGATTGCCAGTCTGGCAAATGTTTCGAGTTAGAATGTGCCAATATTATGTTATCCACGCAGTCACGCAGTCTATTTAGAGATGTCATGGGTGCCATTTCCCTGCTATGGCCCCCAGTATCCTTTTGTATGTACACCAGCCTTGTTTCCCCACTGTACACAGCTGAGAGAGGTAAAGGCCACCACTTTTACCATCAAGTTCTTGAAAAGAATATTTCACCATCGGGCCGCCCGGCTCGGTCACCGTTTCCCCGGCAAGAACTAATGGTATGCAGGTGATGATACGGCTATAGGACAAAATTGATATGTCATTTCAGGCCCTGAATCTAGACGTCGGCAGTACAAGATCGGGTAACCTTAGTTTAGACACGCGACCGCCGCATCGGACTCAGTCAGGAGTCAGGGCAATCCACATCACTAATGAAAAAGCGCGAGGAAACGAGAACAGAGAGGAGGATAACGGAGTGGATCGTGTTTACTCCAGAGTAGACATCTCTCTATTGCTCTTTCTGGAGAAGCAATGTACGTACGTCCCGGGACTCATTTCTGCAGTGCCTCGTGGCCCAATAGATGCCAAAAAAATCACTCAGATGGAGACTAGAGAGACACACTAGAACCGACCAGAACCCCCGCGGAACCCGAGCTTGCACGAAGGCTTGATCATTCTGAGGCGTCTGCACGGTCAATGGCCGAACTAGTGTGGGTGGAGATGATAGTGGTAATGATGATGATGGTGATGACGATTTGTGTTGGCCAATAGTGACTACTACTAGGTTGTACCTAGTTAGTCTACTCGACCGTCTCACATTGTGGATACCCCGGTACATGGACTGAATCAAATCGAATCTCTGATTTTTTTGGGGCTTTCTTTTCACATCACATGCTCAATAAGATATGATCAATAGTGCAGGCTATTGCCTCTAAATTCTAGACTGAAAAGTGCACAAGGCGAGCAGTTGAGCAACTAGAATAGGTGGTGGTGGTGGACTCCCAATCTGACTCGGTTGAGTTTGGACCTTTCCGGTAAAAGGCAGAAGCCCACTGCGAATCGAAGGAACCACCGATCGGATCTCATCGTGTTTGCATCAGATCTCACTTTTCCCATCTTGCATCCGTCCCAAGATCCAATAACTTGGAGTAGTAATCAATGCTTGTGGAAAAGTACCATCACAAGCCTACGCATACAGAGTACGGTCGTGATAGCACTAATGACCGAGCTGCTGAGGGGCTTTATCGAGCGTGCCCCGTCCCATCGTCGCCTGTACTACCGCTACCACTACCACTACTACATACGTACTAGACCAACTACCACGCCCCGCCCCTCCAAAAAACGTTGCCGCTCGGTGTTAGGCGGCGATTTGGTTCCAAGATGTGAGATCTCATTCAGATGACGGTGGGTCCCTGCCGTTCCCGACTCCTCCTTCGTTCCTTCACCGCCAATTCAACCTTTCACATTCATTCAAGGTTCCGTCCCCTGGCTTTCCTCCTCTTTCCCTTCCAAATGGGCGAATGACAGTCGGTATCATCGATCCTGTTCTCCTTGGGACTTATGGATACATACCGTACATTCGGACTCATAAGTCTCTATCAATTCTGTCTTCAAGAGGGCTGGCTATTTTCAAGCACGTCGGCTCCAACATTGACAGTTCCAAAGTATACACATTCTCATGGGGTTCTGGATTCCGCCAAGCTCCGAACTATTGCCATCGACAATTCACAACACATGCTATGCTCGTATGTGTCCATGTACACTACAGCACGGTGGTGTGGTTAACTACCTTCCGGCCGAAAGTCGAATGGGACGATTATTTTTTTTTCTCTCTCCTCCAGAATAGGTTACGTATAATTTGGAATCAGAGATGCAATTGTGTCATGTATCCACATCAGACACCTCCATTCGCTCGGCTATAGATTGGAAAAATAGATTAGAAAAGACTGGCACCATCATGCCACGTCTGTTTGGAAAATAAGACTTGGTCGCTTTTCCCCACTCCCCGGTCGATGGATGATAAGGCAGGCGGCTGGGATGGACATCGTTTGACATGGCCTTGCACTGCAAACTATCAGTAGTACATACGTGTAAACAGCAGGAGTCTGTCTGATCTCGGGCAATGCCGAAATACCGCAATACCGACTGCCGGGGGGCCGGACTCCGGCCGGTCGCGCGAGCTCAGTCATCATTATCCACTACATACTATGTACAGTACATACTAAGTTATGTCTTTAGGGGCGCTTCACTATCAATGGGGCTGGCTATATGAGGGCGCACGACTATCTGGGTCTGGTGCTCATTAGTCTAGTCTATGAACTCAACTCTTGACGCTAGTAATTGTCTACATTTGGGTACAGTACAGTTTGCCTCTTATTGAGTTCCCTACTTAGGTGTGCGCCCAGTGAGTACCTAGCACAATGATACCTGTCCCAAGATTGTTGACCGGACTGGACTGATGTGACCTGTCCGACTATGTTATCGAGCGCCTATCTGCCTATCGACCCCACCGACCCAATCTCTCGGTACTTTAAGCGGTGAAACCACGGCGGACCGACCGATCGATCGATCTTTCTATCTACCTCTGTGCCCGTCTCTCTTTCTTTTTCTCTCCTATCCACTAGAGATAACAGTTGATACGCCGTCTGTTTGGGCATATGAATGCTTACTTTAGTCCGAGCCATGATGATACCCAAGATACCTCGCCAGGGTCTCAGTTCAAGACTAAATCTGCCCCCTCATTTTCACCGTCAAATCCGTCCTCACCTTCCCCGTGGCCGATGAGTAAGGATCTGAAACAAATCCTGGAACCCAAATGTTTGCCAACCAGATCAGCAAAGCCAGAGAACCCCAAGCCAAGGTGACGACTACCGTATGATGCCAATGAGATGCAACTTTTTGGGGGGGGGCAGGGGTCGATTCGGCATTTCCCCGTTCCTCGCCCGCCATCTATAAGATTGTCTGATATCATCCTGACCAAAGATGAGAACGGTGGAGTCCACCCACCTCGATCGTCGGTCGCCGCCTTTGTTTTCTTTCCTTGTTGCTAGGAGCCTCACAGTTTCGGGAGAGGGAAGGGGAATGTGCAGTGAGTGATCTTACATACCCATTTCGACCAAAAAAAAAAAGAAAGAAAGAAATTTGCCGAAAACTTCCTCCTCGAAGTGCCCAGGCAGGCAATGGGGCGGTTAGGCCGGATGGCACCGAGGGAGAGCAGATCTCAAATCGAACCAAGGATCATCCACTCACGAATCAGTCGACGGGAAGCACCGGCGGGGCAGGTTCTTTTTCTTATTATTCGATCGGCGATAGGGTCCGATAGTTTCAGCTGATTGACAGATTTGCAGTGCCCTTCCTCCACCTACCTTACTCAGTAAGATCTTTCTTTCGGGATTTGGGTTGTCGTACCTTAAGGCATTTTCTTTTTCGGGGTTCGGATTTGGCTCAATGCTTCCATCCAGGTGATTTTCATTTCTCCAAACCACATCTCTCCAAGAGTGGCATTGGCAGTTTACAGGGATCCGGATGTTTGGAGGCTTTCTTCAAACTGTCACCGTGACTGTACTGGAGCTTGTATCTGAGACTTTCATGTCTATGGTCTCTCAGCATCCGGCAATTCAGGCCCGGAGTTAGCGCGGCAACACTCTCTTTCCCACTCTTCCACAGAGGACATGCGTCTCTTTTGGGACTTCCAATGTTTTGGATTTCGACCTGGCGAAGTTTGAGGTGAAAGCATCCCGCAGTTGGGTATCGAACCCTAGCGAACAAGGCTGTAGGTCGATCGACCGGGGGGGGGGGAGGATATGATCTGTGACACTTGAGGAATGAATAGAACTAATCGATCGTAAATCGCAAATCGCAAACCGAGCGGCGTATCGGAGCTGCATTCCTGTTCGAGATGGGAGAAAAACAAACAACGGCTAGTCTCTGGCTGGCTCGTTGGATTCGCAATTCTGGGGGGTTTCACGCATACCATACCCAATTGACCGTATTTTCAGCAGCAAGGATTACTGTACTGCATGTCCATGGAGTCGGCAGAAAGATGTATGTATGCATGCATGTATGCATGTATGTACATCATCGGTTCCATCACAGTCGGCGGTCTGGATGATGTGTGGAGGATTTAGGGGTTGCTTCTGTTGTTGGCTCAGCGTGCCTGTCTTGGCTATTCTCTAACAGATCAATTTTCACAGGGTTCATGTGCGCCTGTTTGAAGGCTCCAGTATCTCGATGGTCACTTGTGTATGTATTCAGCTTGAGCTACGTGCGGACACGCTGGGTAGATTCGAACACGCAGTATATGTCAACCTAATGAAGAATATGGCTCCGTCAGCAGTCGAACTGAGAGCTAGAACCACATGGCAACAACGCTACGCATACCATAACATGAGAACCATGTTATCGATGGCTCTGTAGCACCGCATCCGCAACAAAACCCTGCCTTTGCCATCCACGAAAGCTGTCTGTCCAGGTAACCCCTGCATCTGGTCCAGGTTTCTGTATACGTTTTCCAGATACGGAGTATGTGACCAGACCCAATCCATACGAAGGCGTGTTCTACAATTTTTCGTTCTTTGATACATACTGTACATAACGAAGTAGTTACAGGGTATATCCCAGTTGAGAGCATCGTGTATTGGGGGCAAAGATCGGACAATAACTTACCAGCTGGAATCGTCTATACCACCAGAGCCTCGTGTCTGATCCCTCGCAAGCAGCCGCCGGGGCCACGCCCATTGATTGGCTCTGATGGGGTTTAGATTTTAGATTCGTGGCTCGATTTCGCCCAGACGCTGCTATGTACACAGTGTAAACTAAACCTCCTGACTACAAACCGAGTAGTCTATGTACTGTACCGAATTACAGTAGGTTGGTGATGATGCAGATCGGAAGTTCCAGGCTCATCCGCTCGCTCGCCGTGACCTTATCTACCCATTCACGGAATTGGCTTGATGGAGCACTGCCCTGACCTATTTGGTGGACTCTGAAATCTCGGAACATGCCACTCCCTTTGGTCGGTGGATGAATAATATTAATGCCAATGAAGCTAGTACTAGGTAAATAGCCCCTCTTTTTTCCGGGGAGTGCGTTTGGACTACAACGTGTAGTGAACACGAGGGGTTGAAATAGACCGAAAGAATCAACAAACATACGTACGTACTTAGTCTTCCTCGCGTGAGAAAAGAAAAAGGCATACTAGTAGCGAGGTCAGGTTCGGCATGCACGGCTGCCTAAAAAACTTGATCACGGTTCCTCTTCTCTTTTCTTTTTAGGCTTGGAGGGAAATGCTGTATGTAGCCCAGATGTTAGTCTTCTGCAATGTACATCAAAAGCGAAAGGTGGAGTGAAAGGGCTTACGCATGACAAGAATCATCCACCCACGACCCAAACCTATCCACGCATGCTTTGCTTGCTTTTTCTCTTTTGATTGTTGTAGCGGTGTTGCTTCTGGTACATCTCCACAGTTTTAGCGTAAATTAGTCTCCTAACCATCCGATCTACTCGTAGCTCTCCCCTCTGTCGGGGATGTCCCGCGACTCCACGGTGTGCAGAAAGGTCGCAAGGTGGTTCCGGACATTCAATGACCTTTCTGATAGCCCAAGCGGGTTAGGATTAGCGATCTCGCACAGGATCATGGGACAAGTTCATCTCATCTTGGATCGCGCGCGCGCCGGCCGCTCCACTGTCCACTGCTAAGCCCCTTTTGGCTTGGGCGCTCAGATCTTCCCATTCAACTGAGTACGTGGTCTAGAGAAACAAAAGTAACCTAAGCATTTTGAAGAAAAAGGTAAGACTAAAGAGTTAGTTAGTCCTTCTCTGTGCCGAGAGTAATCGGCGGCCTCGGGTGACGGTCGAGGTTCGAAGTTCGAACTGTACCGTACCTTCCTCAGCTTCTTTCTGCATTGACCAGTCCACAACGGATACATCCGCTGAATGGACGGAAGAGAAGACCGATTGCCCTCCCTCCCTCCACTTTTCGGCTGTCGCTCAGCTGTTTGTCATTAGTACTCGTACTCGTATCTTAGCAGTAACGAGACGTAGTGCAAAAGGTTTTGGGTGTTCGGGATTTACTGGAGGTTTGAACCGAGCGATGGATGAGAAGAAGAAAAAAAGACTCTTGACTATTCAGGTTTAGACACACAACTAGGAAGGGGACCGACGTTAAGAAAATCCTTTCCATTCCTTCTTGTTTGGGGGGAGGGGGGGGGAGGAGGTGTGCTAGCTAACTAAACCAGTGCTAATACTAGTTCAGAGTAGACGATCTGTTTGCCCCCCCAATCTTTTTCATTTTCATTGTCATTTTTTGATTCTCTTCTCCTTCTCGGACAGTTAGCGAAGAACTTCTTTTTCGTCCCCTTCCTTCGCCCCCATCATCTCTTCTCCCCCTTGCTTTGGCCCTTCCCGCCGTCTCCGTCCCCGGTACGACGGCACCCAGATCTCTTTGGCATCTACCGAATCGCCCGGAGAGGATAGCTTTCAGCCAACAAAACTCACCAGACTCCAAATAGTTAGTCCCAGCCACTGGATGTTCGGGTTCTCTTTCGGGGATGATTTGGAACCCAGCTATTGGACCGCATGTATGATGCGAAAGTTTCTTTTCTCGAAACTGATCCACAAAAATCTACCTTAGAACCTTTCTTTTCTTCTGTGGAGCTAAACCAAATTCGACTGCTCCCCCCAGGGGTTCGGTCGTGTACGGTACGTTTGTACAAAGTACCTAAACTACAAATCCATTGTTTTTTTGGGGGGAGGGTGTCATGTCCCCCCGCTTGCCATGCAGACTCCTGATTTAGATTCGATACCGCATGAGGGATCTGTTAACTTACTGTCTAACTTAGTGCAGATACACAGAGCCGCAATACCCGTACAACCCTAGCGTCCCACTTCCCCTCTAAAGCTTTCTCCCGTGGTTCAGGTTTGGAGAAGGGGAGAGGCATGCCTTGGCGATACTTGTAAAAGGTATAAGCTCAAGAAATCATGATTACTCGGATTGAGACATTGATTCACATTCCTGTGGGTATAGTATTGCATTGCCTCGCGAGTGTCACGGATCGATCCAAAGTTTTGCTTTTGGATACCTCCGATAGGCGAGTGACTCTGTTTCTATGGCCGGCTTACCTGTTGCCGGTCTAGGGCATGGGCAAACCAGTATCCGTAGGTATCTTTCAAGACCCTCTCTCCAAGTAATCTCACCTGGAAGGATCGATTGCATCTGGCACCTGTCTGTCAAAAGTCTGCTAATCATCATCCCGAGCTGAGAAGGTTTCATCCTACTGAGGGAATAGGCAGCGAGGAAGGCAACCACACTAATCTGCAGTGCTGGACTTGCATCCATTGCAGCATGGATGAGTTCGGGTGCATCTTGTGCCGGGGCCCTCTCCCCCGTCGTTCATACACAAAGTAAATATACTCGTAATATGTTTGTCCTTGTGCGCAAAGGGGGGGGGGTTACTGACGTGCATCCGAACTCCGAATGCGGAGTGATTCAGGGTGGCAGAGGTTAAGAGATTGACGATCGAGTCACTTTCCTCTTGTTGTCCGAATATTCCCGTACACGACCCTCTCCCCGTCGAAGGTGCTTCCCATGCATGGAAATGCAGCAACAGGGGGGGCAAGCGGAGGGTTGTCTGCGAGCATGCAGATGTTGGGATGATGTGGCGATGCAGTTTGTACTGTACAGTACACATGCATGATGATATCAAGGAAGGGAGAGAGAGAGTGTGTGTGCATACAGATTGCGACTAATCGTGCAGGGCCTGTAGCTTGAGACTGTCACTGACATCATTTGACAAGTCACAATGCATCTCATTTCCAATGAAAACGGAACCAGCAAACCACATAATTCTTTAGGTTTCAACTGTCGCGTGCAAAAGCTCCCACCATCAGCCCGCAGTTGTGCAAAGGAACCTGCTTCTGGCCCTTGCATTAGTTCGCCCTGCCCTCTCCTGGGCCAATCATTCGCGTCCTATCTGCAAGATGTGGCTTGATTTGGGATCTACTGGCGGTAGTCTACTGCCTTTGTGGATTGCTCTTGCTCGACCCCGGATGCAGTGTTACAGATCACTTCGGACTCGATCTGTCAGATCATAAAGCAAACAGGACAGCTGCACCGTGCATACATCATGCGCCGTATCGGGTAATCTAAGAGCAGGCAGGGAAGCCCGGGGCCATGGGAAGGGGGTCCCGGCGCTGGATCTGAGAGCTCGATCACAAAGAAGCGGTGACATCTAAACCTTGTATGGTTCGATCTCTTGATCTGCCTTAGCATCTGTCACATTTCTGGGCCAAGAAAGAGGCTCAAGCCTCTGTTTCTTCTCCGTCTCGTCCATCCGGAGGCTCTTTTTTTCTTTTTCGTGGGGCGAAAGAGGAGGACAGATCTCCAGTTCCTGCAGGCGCTTGGTTTGCTACCCGCGCATAATTCAGTTGTTTGACTCCTCATGTACCGTACCGGGCTGGCAATTATTGGTTCTGGTGAGGATATAGAACTGTGGACTGTTTTGTAAGGATTAGTCGGGTGACAGGTTTCGATCTCGATTGAATGTGGGTTTCCCGTGGATCGATTTGGGTCTGACGTCGTAGATCAGATTCATATTCAGTATGGGGAGTACTGTACGGCGCGGAGGTGAGGTGGTTGGGCGTTGATATTGCTACCGTGGTCTGTAGAATCTATCTGCCTGATAGACTATTCGAGAAGTAGCTTGTCCATGCCTGTATTGCTGTAGGAAGAAGGGCTTGTCTGCTTTTCCAAAACCGAATTCCAAATATAATCAGTTGGTTGCGCAATTGCTCTTTCGTGGTTCGCGATGAGCTTTGTGTTGTTGTTTTTCGTCTCGCGTCATGAATTGGCACCAGGGTGATATCGGGGGCCTAAGAGAAAGGCAAAGGATACACCGCACTTTCCATGTACTGCTAACCTGAGGCAGCCGCGAGTTCTTCCCTTCCACAGTGACCCAAGACATACAGAGCTCTGCTGGTCAATTCCAGCCCACTATGACGTTTGTGACAAGATTCACCTGTGGGTTGGCCCAGCGATAAGATAAGGGTGAATCATGTGTCAATCACGTGTGACAAGCAAGCTTCACCCCCCTCCACAACAGCTTACTTGCATCAAAGAACATCTGTTGAGAACACTATCTATCGCATACTTTCTTGATCTGATACTTGTTGAATCAAGGTATTGCCAAGTAAAGAACTGTCTCATTCGTGCAGGACATCTCCCTCGATCGAATTGAACTGCGCTGCAAGTGCCCGGCTCCCGCCACCTCTTTGTCAAAACGCGGGGAAGACTTCGTATCACCGCCGTTTGGATAAACGATTCCTGGGAACCAACTACGATCCGAGCTACACGACCGTGCTGCAATATGGCAGGCCCCCTCATACCTCTCGCCGAGATCCCGTCCGTTTCACTCCTGTACAAGCTGAAGCGGTTGGTCCCCGCGGCGTCCCCTCTGGCGTCGCCGTCCAAGGCCTTCAACGACACGATCGCGTTGGTTCGCAATGACATCACAAAGCTGCAGGGGGTCGACTGCATCGTCAACGCCGCAAACGAGAGCCTGCTGGGCGGCGGGGGCGTCGACGGCGTCATCCATCGCGCCGCGGGGCCCGACCTGCTGCGCGAGTGCCGCACCCTGGACGGCTGCGACACCGGCGACGCCAAGATCACCGCCGCATACGAGCTCCCCTGCAAAAGAATCATCCACACCGTCGGACCTATCTACGAATCCGAGCGCCGACGCGGGGGCGCCCGGTGGCCCGAGTCGCTGCTCCGCAGCTGCTACCGTCGCAGTCTGGAGGTGGCCGTGGAGAATGACATGAGGAGCATCGCGTTCTCGGCCGTCAGCACGGGCGTATACGGGTACCCGAGTGAAGCCGCCGCCCGGGCGGTATTGGATGAGACGCGCCAGTTCCTGGAGACCGCTGGCAATATCGGCAAGTTGGAGCGCATCATCTTCTGCAATTTTGAGCGCAAGGACGAGGTGGCCTATGAGAAGCTCGTGCCGTAAGTCTGGACCATTGGTTCCCCTTCGCCTTCATCGGAGCTTTTGCTGTTATCGTCTGTACTGTTCGATAAGTGGATACTAACAGTATGCCTTCGTCTGCTAGTTTATTCTTCCCACCCGAGGATCAGGATGTTCCCAGCAACGACATCACCCACGAGCAGAGTGAATCCCAGTCAACAAGCACCGACGGTGAGTCCTTACTGTCATCCGAAGTACTCGCAGCCAAGCTCCCCGACGCGCCCACCATGGAGCCCGGACTGGACGGCCAACCGGAGACCAAGAAGCAGAGGGTTAACGAGACCGCGACCACGCAGCGAGGTAAAAGCTACATCGAGGACTTCTCCATCAAATCGGATGACGACTGGGAGGAAGTGGACAAGTCCGAGGACGGGCGCACGGAGAGATTGGACGATGACCCCGTCGAGGTCGACCGGCCTCCTTCGGCCACCGACGTGCAAAGCGTCCAGTCGAGCGGCATCATCGACATGGATGGCTCACAGTCGTCGTCGGATGGGATTTTGTCCAAGGATAGCCTCATGACCAAGGATTGGTAATTGAGACTGGCGACTATGAATAATCATGCACAAAACTCATGACAAATTCGTTACTTTATGATTCGGCTGGCGTCTGGGACTGAATGTTCAGTGGTCTTGTGCGAATGGAGCAATGCACACCACCCCCATCGACATTGAGATTTTCCATCAATTATGATAGCTAATGCAACACTTATTCTTGGTCGATGCGAGAATTTCTGGTGAAAAGCATTAACCCGACATTCGTCCTAAAGGACGGTATACTTCGTAGAATAATAGCTATAGTTTGAATCCACGCCCGGGTTACAGGACAAAAGTTCCCGAAACGACCAGTGCAAACACCGCAAACAAGCTCGCGATAATTATTACGATATCACGATCATCTCCGCGGCTTCCATCGCACACTCCGATGCGACAAATGCGACATACTTTGATACCCTTTCCCCCACAATTGAGCACCAATTCCTCTTCCACCCTTGCTACACGATAATATAGCGCAGTTTCCGCGAAACAACTGGACACCCTCAACATCCCCAACTCCGCGACCGCATCCTACCTCCATCCTCATTTGCGCTCCTCCGCACGCAACCCCAACAAAAAGGACCTCCTCCCTACCTCCAAACGAATCAGCACTGAATATGTCACCACCAACACCACCAAACCTGAACCCCAATCGCACAAAACCCCGCGTCGTGCCCCGCGAAGAACTCTCCCGCGCAACCACCTCAAGCCACCGCCTCGTCCAAGACCTCCAAGACGAACTCCGCGCGCAAGCGCAGGCGCACGCCCAGCAGCAGCAACAACAAGCGGCACACCGAGCCCAGCGCCAACGCCCTCGCTTCTCTTTCCTTTCCGCCCTCCGCGCCCGCTACGCAACCCTCCCGCTACCCTTCCGGCGCTCCGTGCGGGTCCTGGGCGCCACGCTCCCGCTCCTCCCGATCGGGCTCTTCTTCTCCGAACACGTGCTGCAGGTGATGTGGGTGCGCGGGCCCAGCATGACGCCCTACCTGAACGAGGACTACGAGCAGATGCATACGGCCAGCGACATGGTGCTTGTGAATATGTGGGGCGGTGGCGGGCTGTGGCCGTGGGAGCGGAAGCGGCGGTTGGAGAGGGGGATGGTTGTTACGTTTCGGTGAGTCTTCAAGCTATTTACCATCTTCAGGGGGGGAGGGTGGCCGGGGATCTCTTAGAGGGTAATGGTGGCTAACAGTTCTCTTCCGGTGTGATAGCTCCCCCGCGAATCCCCGCCACATCGCCATCAAGCGCGTCGTCGGACTGCCCGGGGATCGTATCACGACACGTGAACCCTGTCTGAAGGATGCGCAGGTCGTGCCGTTTAACCATGTGTGGTTGGAGGGCGATGCGCGCGATCCCCGGAAGTCGATGGATAGTAATACCTACGGGCCGGTGAGTTGCAGTCTGATCACGGGCCGGGTGCTGGCGGTGCTGTGGCCCAGGTGGCGGTGGTTGAATTGGGAGGATTGGGAACGGGGGCTTGTGGAGGGCGATACGGAGCGTCGCTTTGGGGAGGATTATCGCCAGGAGGTGAGGGAGCGTGTGGTCAAGGAGGCTGTGAAGTTGGAACGCCCACAATTGTCGTAGGCTGCGGTCGGGATGGTAAGGTGTTTACTGTAAGCTTGTTGTTGGTGGTGTTCGATGTTGTGTATATTATGTTTGTTTGCATTGAGTATGTACATATTTCCTCGCTTTCGTCCTTCATGTGTGTGTGGTGACTATATAGAGATTAGAGAATAGGCTGATCCTGCGTTTTGGATCGTGGAGCTATACTTCAAAAAACAAGAAAAAAATCGCTAAGTCTGCTGTGAGATGATTCGCACATCCTCCGGCCGGTCTTCTTGCAGACGGTCAATCTCGGATGCTATACTCAACACCCACCGGTCTTTCTCCACACGGCTGCGCGCCTTGAAGACGATGGTCCGCCCGTGCACTCCCAGTGTGGACACCTGCTTCAACCGTTGCCGCTTCTCTCCCTTGGTCCCGTACTCGCGTGAGCGGAAATAGTTTCTGCGCAGGGGCTGCCAGATCACGAATGCGATGGCGGTGTCCTCGTCACTACTTGTGTAGACATCTGTCGAGAGATAGACTCGCGGGAGGGATTGGTGCCCAGGCCGGTTGCTGTCGAACGTCTGATTTGAGTAGAGCAAGTCTGATTCGGTCAAAAGGCCCGAGTATATATAGCAGTCGGCCAGGTCGATGGTGGTCTCCAAACTGTGGTGTATATGAGGCACTTCGGCGCCGTTGCGCTTCCGCAGGGAGGTGCGAAAGATTAATAACTTTCCGGCCATGAGGACGACATGGCATCGCTTGAAGGTGCTGTGGCGGCGAGGTTTCCGATATAGTTGTCCAGACATCTGCAACTCCAGTCAGTATCTGCTGCTCCGTTGAAGTGGCGTGTAATGTACCTTGATTGTCCGGCAGCCCGACAGAGCACAGATGTTGTGCAGCAGAGGCGAGGCCTCGGCTTTTTTGACCTCCCACTTTCGAGCGAATTGCCCCATGATCGACTCCATCTCCTCATCGATTCCAAGAAGTTCTTGATTACGCTGGCGGAGAACCTTGAGCTCCGCTGCATCGGTCGCCAGCCGGACCTTCCAGTATTTCACCAGAGCATCAAGTCGTTTCATCCATTCATTCTTGGTGATCTCATCGTACGCCTGGAACCGAACAACAAGGTCATTGTGCAGGAGCATCTCAAACGTCCTCTCATCATCAAACTGCTTCGTGGCGCCGTCATCTCGGCGCGAATCTGTCGCGTCAGGTTGGAAATCGACGTCGGGCCCTTGTTCGAGATTGGGGTCAGCGGGGCAAGCATCACGGTGCACATTGCGGACTTCTTTGACCCGGCTTAGATCAATGAACCCGTCTGCATGCTCAATGTTGTGGGCGTTTCTTTGCTGTTGAGCATAAGCCTGCTCGTCGTATTTGGTAATGTGTTCCTTATTGCCACTCGATAACCATGTAATCTCGCCGTCCTGCAAGGGGTACGGATCGACCTCGTAGGAAAGAGGCGATGCGTCTAAGATCTGCTGCGCTGAGGGCACGGTAGTCTCATCGCGGTCGAGCTTCGGAGGCGCCGGGGGCAGTGACTTGGAGGGTCTGCAGAAAAACAGGTGGTGATCCTGAGTAAAGAAATACAGTCGTTTGAAAAACATCTTATTCAATCGCTGGTGTACACCACGCTGCGACGTGAGGCGTACAAGAAAGCCCTCTACCGGTGGGGGCTCATCCTCCTTCTCGTGGTCGTGCTTGACGTACGTCTGATAATGTTGCCTTGGTCGCAGCTCGAGCTCATGGGTCGTATGCATCGCAATTGTGCCGTACATGTTCGCTTCATTGGTACCAAAAATCCATTCCAATCGATCATACCGCTTCCAGGCAAGCCCCATGATCTCAGTCTTGGACCAGCGGTTCAAAACCTCCGCCCATTCGGGGCGGTGTTCCAGCATCTCCAAACAACCGCGCACGATCGCTGTAGCGACAGATTTCTCCTTCGTTGCAGCGCGACCCAGAACACCACCCTTCCCCTTGTTCGAATAAATTGCTTCTAATTGTTCGAACGGATTCTTGAAAACAAGAGATACTCCAAGGTCTGGGACATATATCGGGAGTGAAGATGGACGGCGCCTGCCTAGCACCTGGCTCAGGAAAGTGTACCATTCCATAGCATGCGCCGCAGACTTCGGCCGTAAAATGAAGATCTTCGTCCCTCGCTTACACGGCCCCCAGATGACAATTGTCTTGTCCAGGTGTGAATAAAGATTTACCTTGGTCCGTTTGCGACCCAGCGGGATATCATACTGCGGTGACACCCGCGTGCCTGCCTTTTGCACCTCGGGTATGACACGAGTCTTGTACATTTGGAGAGAGAATGGCGCATCCGGACTGGAAGACACTCGACACGCCACGAGGTATTCTCGCCACTGATCCACAACCCGATTCTCTGACTTGAGACTGTCATTCTCTGTATAGTCATCAGGAAGCTTGTCCTGTAGTGTTTCCTCAATCCGAACAAGCATTTTCTCTGCCTTCAGGACCTCTCCTTCCTGGATTTTGCGTCGGTGCGGTCGGTGTCGTGACAAGACTCCCTGTGTCCTCGATATGCGCGAAAAAAGCCGCTGTTGCTTGTCCAAGAGATTGTCATCCAGGTTGTATCTGACCGCCTTTTTGTGCAGTGGGTGAAGAGGATTACTTCTGACTCGCTTGCCCTGCGGGATCGATTGCTCTTCGTCGCTCTCCACCCGAGGCTCATGCTGCTCTAGATCTGCTGGTGTCGACACTGACGGTGCTCTTCCCTTCCCTTTGGATCGCGACGCTGGCCTTAGCAACCCAGTTGTGGATCCATGATCGCTAGCAGGAATCATGGGGCTTGACTGACTCTCGGCATATTGGCTAGGAACCTGTAGCGTTTGCCTGTCTTGTTCCCGCGTGGGTTGCTCCGACTCCATCCTGCTGGGTTCCAAGGATGCATCGCTTGGGCCGCGCTCGTGGGCCGTGTAATAAGCAGAGCCACCATCTTGTCTTCGAGTAGACGCGCCTTCGTGGTTCGCTGTTTCTCTAGAAGTTGATCGGCTTGTGTCTGCAGTAGTCGTCCGCGAGACCTCATGCCCATTGTCTTCAGAGAGTGTGTAGGGAATAGTCCGTAGGCTCTTTCGCGGGCGGGCCTCACAATCTCTGGTTTCGTCCTCTGATTCCCGTTCTGTTGCTTCGTCTTCAGTGGTATCGGCCAGACCAGCTGACTCTTCTTCGGGAGAGGATTCATAATCATCACTCTCGTACTCCTCAGTGTAACGTGCGACCATGGGATCTGCAGAGAAAGTGACAGTCCTTGAAGAGTATTTACTCAGCCTGAGTCTTGTCCTCCACCACGATTTACGGTGATTCTGCAACCAGCCCTGCGGAATGGGGCCGATGAAGAATCGCCGATTGGTCATGTGTATGTGTTTGGGAGAGGCATGATGCTTTGTCGGGTCAGCAGCTGGGACGTGGATTGTGTGTAGGCACATACCAATTTCTCTGCAGTATGAGAGTCGGGATCCAGCCCGCGATATTTGGAGCCATGATACCCGAGACGAGGATCGGTAGCCATTCCGTCACTGGAATGCTGCTCCGTTGGCGCATGAGAAGTCATGACATCTCCAGTGAAACTCCCTCGACGAGATATCTAGAGTGTCCTTGAGGACAAAGGGTGTTTTAAAATCGAACCAGGACAGCTGGGGGGAGATGAGATGCAGATCTGGCATCGGCCAGGAACCGACACTGGGGACAAGTCTTGGCCCGGAGTCGATGACGTCGCTCGTTGGAGGTCTTCCCCTTTCCCAAGTTTATGCCCTGTTGCCTAACTGCCTTTTTGCCTTAATGCCTGATAACCCGCTCAGATGTTTGCACGCTTTGTCTCAGGTGAAACAATAGCTGACATAACCACTCAGGGGCGAAGGGACCCGCTTTGTTTATTGGTCTCGAACCTCACCGCTTGCGTGTCCCGCTCCCCTGCGGCGGTGAGTTGTGACAGGCCGCCGTGGGCTGTTGATGAGCTGCCCTCCACCTCCCCTCCACGTTGCCTTATAAAGCCCCCCAACCCCTGATCACTCGACTTACATTCTCTCTATCTACCTCCCTACAATTTACTGTGCTCTTTTGTACTTACAATATACACTCTACCTCCTTAGTTCCACAAAAATGGCTACCTGGTTCGACGGCAAGAAGTCCTTCGCGGACGTTCCCATCACCGCCAACGGCATCTCAACTCAGGAATTCCTCGATGCTGCTGAGGCCCTGACCACCTTGTTCGGTATGCCACCGTTATTGGACATGGTACAGCACGTCACAGAGCTCTGTATGCTGACATCAAACTCCTAGATCTCATGCAATCCAAGGCTTTCGGCGTTGTCAAGTCTGACCTTACCGGCAACATCAAGGTTCGGATAACCATACCCCGCATTCAGCCATCGCTCAGGTCTAACCCCATCACAGAAAGTCAGGGACAGGTTCCTGGCTGCTCCCGCTGAGTCCCAGACTCTCCAAGAGCTTGTCGTGAACGAGCTCAAGACCGGAAAGCACACCGCCACCGAGGGTCTCCTCTGGCTCGTTAGGTTAGATTTGACCTACCCCTCCCCGTCACTCAGCCCATGACACCTAGCCGCATGTATCGATGCATGATGCACAGTTCTCATCGACACCTTCAATATCTTCAATACAAAGCTGACATCTTCCTCTCACAGAGGACTTGACTTCACCGCCCAAGCTCTTCGCCACAACATTGACAACGCCTCCACTGAGCTCGCCGACTCCTTCCGCAACGCTTACGGCGGCACCCTCAAGCCCCACCACTCCTTCGTTGTCAAGCCCCTCTTCTCCGCTGCCATGTCCGCCTGCCCTTACCGCAAGGACTTCTACTCTAGACTGGGCGATGATCAGGCTCAGGTGCAGGAGAACCTGAATGTTTATGTTGCGGCCCTTGAGGAGCGGATTAACATTCTGAAGGCGTTCATGGAGAGCCCCCAGGCTAAGTGGTAGATATCTTTCGGAAGGCTAGTTGATGTCAGGCACATTCGGCATATGAAGGAAAGCGCAGTTTTGAAATGTACATACATATATTCGGGAAAGTCTGAGACTTCTTGCATGTTATTTATAGAGAAGATTTGGTCTGCGCAGGTTTGGTCGTATTTGTACTGCCCCGAACCTGGGGGGATCCTCGTTTTGAAGGTGCTCTTGTATACCGCCATTGAGCAAGTGATCAGGATGATCACCGGAGGACATTCGTATCGGACGATTTGTGAGCTTGCTCCGCCATTATAACCATGGAATTGCTTCGTTCCTGTGGCATGGTACCAACCATCCAAATCATATTAAATAGCTATGCACATATTAGAGCTGAAGTTCCATAATGCAAATCTGTATGGCATGACCGATTGAGCTTCAGACGAAGTTGGCGGTGCGAGCGCCATACAGCAAGACGAGATAATAGACAAGCCTACCCCGATTCACCGGCATATGCGTCGATCCTATTCGATCTTCTGCGACGAGCACAGATACAACTGTGACTGGTAAGAGGGAAAACAGATAGGGGCGGGGATAGTACGTTGGGGCGCAAAGCGAAGGGATAGCGTCAAGGATGAATGGATTTCGACTCGAGCAAAGACCCATATGAGCCCGGTCTTGACTCTTGATACTCACTGTGTTCGCTTAGCAGCTGCCCCGAGCACTCTTGAAGGAGGCATCCACTCGCGGAGCTACGTGGGTTCGTAGTTCCAAGATGTTTCCGACTGTAGTATAAGGTCACGCGTGCTTTTCGTGCCTTCTAGTTATTTCATCACCGATACCGATCGTAGTACCGTCTGCAATTTCAAGACCAGCACTCACAAGCAGATACTGTGGATGATGGCCTGGGAGATCTCTTCTCCCTGTCAGACCGAGTCCTGAAGCTCTTTCGAGGAGACGGAGATGAATGATCGACGTATTAGAGAAAAGATGATGGCCATGATGCAGCGAGATATCGATCGGGGAGCGGCTCATTAGAGCCTAGCCGATCGATGAAGGGATCTGAGCAACGATCGGTCAACTGCTAGTAAACAAGAGCAAGACACAGGCCATGAAGCGTCTCTTTCGAGACTACCGATAGAGTTATATCAGCCTATGGTCTCAGAACGATCGCTGAAGAAGGGGGCGGCCTCGTGGATGCTGTTCTTCAGTGACCTCTTCTCAGAATCTACAGCAGACGAATCACCTGGCTTGCGGAGACTTATACCTATACATTTTCTGAGGCTGGTGGCCAGCACGTACATCTTCTTTCAGCAGGCTGTTGTCGATTTGCGCATAAGTCAATTCTCATGACGCTGGGTGCGATTGTGCTTGCTCAAATGTTTGTCTTTGTTCAATAAGCGGCAAGCTTTGTTTGGCCTGGGGAGACATGCTAACTTACATCTCTGGGGTCGACCGTATCGATCTGACGTGCGCTGTGCTCTTTACATACTTTTATGCTACGCATTATACTCATTTCTCCGCTTGCTCCTTTCATATCACGTGATCAGGATCGATGATTGCTAAAGCGTGCCAAAGGTATATGCGATGGTAGATGGAGAGATGGAGTAGTGGAGAGACAGAGACCATAAGGAAGGGTGCAAGGTATAACATGAGCAATCACGCGCATAGCGGCGATGACTTGGCTGGCCAGGAGGCTTCCAGGACCTAGAATGATCATTAAATCGAGACTGCAGCTGCAAGTACCTACGCTCTGGAGCTTCCCATGTGAAGGGGGCTGGATGCGGGATAGGAGGCGCATGCACCAACTGTCCCCGAATCAGGTCCTCTGCGCTGCTGTCCCAATTGGGTAATCTAGCATGCCGCCGCGGGCCGCGGGCTAGACTACTACAGTCTTCGCCAACCTGAAATGCTACTTCCCCCCTCTCAAAAACTCGTGGGAATCTGCAGCGAGATTACTCTTGTCAAAGACTTGGCTGTTATGGTGACTGGCGCTCAACTGGATTTAACCTAGCATGAAACCACCCTGTGCTCCCATAGGGCTACAATTGAGCTCTCAGCACCTTTGGCATCGCCCAGAGCGAGGGGAATTGGAACCCAATGGTAACACGAGCTCCTCTACTTCAGGTGGCTATTGCATAGGGCAAAAGTGCCAACTCAGATCCCCGGCCTCTGGTGGTACTCCGTATATGCGTAGCACCGTTGCACGTGTGACAAACCTTAGCGTTGGTGTGAGTTCAGAGAAGGAACTCCGCACTCTTGGAGCATAACAGGTTATGCTATAAGAGTATAGAGCCCAGATCACTCCACCTGGTGGCTCAAAATAGCATCTAAGGCATTGTCTTGACAGTTCGACAGATGACAGATGAAACGTGCATTCAAGCAACGACCGTTTCAGGAGGTGGGGACCGGCCTAGCCTACCTAGCATGTGACGTTGACAGTGACCTCAAGTTTCCATGTCAGATAAGAGGAGGGGAGTAAACGACGTTGTACCACCCTGAAAACATGCAGCACCTTGATGTTCTGCTCATCGAGATTTGCTTTCTTTCAATCGGTAAATTGTGGATTAGGATTGACACCCAGGCTTCAGTGCCCGTCCTATTCGAGGGGAGATCCTGGAAGCAGGTCAAAAGTAGTGCACGCGAGACTTCCCGATGCCGTCCACAGTTATCAGCATACGCATAGTGGTACTAATGCAAAATCGATAGCCGAGCTTATTATGGTTCGTGGACGCCGCTTCCGCCATGTTCCACTGTTGGTTGAAACCATAAGCGGAGCAAGACCGGAAATTGGTACCCTCCTCCGAATCATCGATTGTAGGGACCGGGATAAAGGGGGGAAATGTACATGATGAAAGCCTTCTCCTTGCGAATGATGATAGGGTGTTGCGAAGCTCGGCGGCACTAGAGGCTAGCTCAGGTTCTAGGCAATTGTCCCTGGCATCAAGTGCTGACACCTGGCACCTGTCAGACGCGTTTACAGGAAAGTCAAATAGAACAGCATTGTGCATCGCACAAGAGAGATTCCCTCTGGCCCTGTTGACAATGCGATCGTTTCATATTGTCCTACTCGAAAAGAAGAGGAGGGTGAACAAGTGTAACTGCATCTAAGATCCTCAGATGCAATCCTCTTGCTGGATCGGCAGGCTCAAATTAATTGTGGAGTTGTGTTGCCGGGTAAGGACTTCAGAGGAGGGGCACGTTGAGACGGATGGAGACAGTTCGGCAATCGCCCGTCTCGAGTCATGGTGGTTTGATTAGTCAAAGTAGCCCGCTCACCCACAAAGAAGAATACAGACCCAAATCATGCTAAAGAATTCGATCAAGGGTCGGATCAAGGATATGTTGACTGAGGAAATATCCCAACACAATTCATTCAGTAGCTTAATCAATCACACATCATTGTCACGGAAGAGACGCTTTCAAAGTCAGTCCAACGGTGTTGACAGGGAAGAAGATCGAAATGAAACATCCGTTGGTGGGGCTGTCTATCTTTACCCCATGCGAACAAGATCGATCAAACTGGTTTACTTTTCGTCCGGGCTGAATCGTAGTTCGTTTGCCGAGATTGCGCATCTTGATCTGCTTTGATGGACTAGCTATGGACATATTTGTTGCTGACAATAAGGTGGCTGGTTGCTACAAGTGCAGTACCTTGGGGCGGCTTGAGAAAGAGTATCCTGCAAGACCTATTTCTGGTTAAGGCTGTCCCAGGACAACGGGCAAGACCTTCATTTGTAGTGGATATCTGTAGTTAGTTGCTGTTGAGTTCCATGGACGGTAGAGGATTAGACTTCACTTGCCCTACCGGAGCCTATCTGCCCTGTTAAGGAACACTTTCTAGACTTTGGCTATGTCCGCCATCATAATAAATACAACTCTACTCCCACAACGTCATTCCTCAAGTTCTTAGGTCCAGCAGCCTGTTACAACATACAACATGACAATCAGGTCTGGATCATCCGCGTGTGTCCCCTGCAGGGTGCGATTCTTGGGACCCATCTGCATGCATGTCTAGCCGACCTCCACTGGCAAGCTACTCGGTGTCACATCGCACAGCAAGCCGCATTTTTACAGCATGAAAGGTTCGAGACACCAATTGTTCAAGCCAATGGTAGACCATAGCCTAGACTCTTAGAAAAGTAGACGGTGGAATAGTCTAGCAACTACTGCATGTTGTCTTCAACTTGTCAGCATTGATGCAATTAGGATCGTTTGTAGTAAGGTGTCCGTGCCTGGAGGAGGTTCCCTTCTCCCCTCCCCACCTTTGGAAGTAATCCCGTCCAGACTCCAGAGACAGGTGGAGTGATGAACCACCCGAACCAATGCACCTTGAAGTGGACTACTGACTACATTTTCCTTTCATGGCAAGGTGGATATTCTGAATGGAGATGGCCCCAGAGCCATCATTTGGCACTGCTAGGCCGGTGCCGATCAGCCTATTTTGGCCGTTGCTGAAAGGGCACTCACTATTAACGTACATTTACAGATTAACCCTCATGACTGAACCTCACTAAAGTTTTGCCGATGGGTCTTCAGCTTCTGCCAAAGTCTATTCCTGGCCCTAGGCACTCGAAAAGATGGCATTGAGGGGTCACCTTCGGAGTTCAGAACGTGCCTAGGTAATCCTTCCCCACCCAAGCTGCAGTTGCTGGGATTCATTCGTCACTCTTTCACCCTCAGAATCGCTTCCTTGCCGCTAGGTCCATGCACCATCACTCTTCACTAAACCTTCCATCCATGCCTTGTCAGACAGTCCGACCCGGCCCGACTCCTTAGCGTAGAAGCTTCTTCATCTTATGCATCCAGTCTGCTCCCCTTAAAGTGCTATCGTCCGGCACCTGCAGTGCAATATTTCGTACGTGTGCTACTACCGCCTCTCTTTCTCTCTCTTTCCTCGCTTCCTTGATGGTTGCTTTCCCACTGTAGATGACCATGTCATCGGCTCCTAGATTATTATCCTCAGTCGTGATTGACCTCACCTCACAGACAATCTACAATGGTTGAGTTCAAAGGTCGCAGCGAGCCTATTTTCGTTGTTACCGTGGTTTTTCTCGGACTTTCCTTCATTTCCGTCTGCTTACGATGTTTCGTGAGACTGCGACTGGTGCGCGCATTCGGATGGGACGATGCATTGATGGTCCTAGCTATGGTATGTGGCTAGCTGCTCTTGCCATTCTCGTGGCTTTCTTCTTAAATCATGCTGATCATGAATTAAACCACCATAGGCGCTGGAGATTCTATTTGCCTTATGTGGTATTACCGGGTCAGTGTATGGCATGGGCCAGAAGCTCGAGTGGCTTGACCAAGACACGTTAGAAACCGCCTTGTTTGTATGTGATCTAACAATACCCTTTTCCGAACGGCAAAGTAAGTTAACGGTTTTCAGTGGTGGTGGTTAGGTCAAACAAGCTATGTCGTGACGGTAGTCGTTGCCAAGGTCTCCATTGCATTGACTCTCTTCCGGCTTACCGTCTCACGGATACACAAGATGCTCTTGTGGTTTGTCATTGCCATCTCGATTGTCGTGGGCCTGGTGTTCTGGTTCATGTTGACTCTAGAATGCCAACCGGTTTCCTACTTTTGGCGACGTTTTCATTCCACTGGTACCTGCATCTCTATCGACTACCTCATCGATGTCGCCTATCTGTATAGTGTAACAGCCATGGTCTGCGACTTAATTCTGGGCTTGTTACCTGCTTTTCTAGTCTGGAACTTGCAAATGAGTACAAGAACCAAGGCTGCGCTAGCAGGGATCTTGAGCATGGGTTGCGTGTGAGTACTCTTAAATAAACCTTCATTGCCTAATAATCAGCCATGAGCTAATGAGCCGATAGAGCCAGCGCAGCTGTGATTGTACGCATACCTTTTCTGCCTACTTATAACGACAAGGAGTTCCTCTGTAAGTTTCAAGTTCACACCACACGAGAGTCACACAGATTACTTATTAGAACTTTCTTCAGACGCTACAGCGCAGATCTCGATCTGGTCCAATGTCGAGGCTGGCCTTGGCATCACGGCAGGGTGTCTTGTAACCCTGCGTCCTCTCTTTCGCTGGCTTGGTGACGCCAGCTATGGCGCCACACGTAGCAAGAAAACAGGAGGTAGCATACCTCTTTCGAGCTCGATCGGCCATGCAACCCACCCCTCACAGAGCAACACGACGAAGTACTGGCGGCCGGACCTTGATCCGGAAGATTCTCAGGGCGTGGTCACGACTATACAAACCTCGGCTGGGAGCCCGCACAGTAGTCAGGAGGACCTCAACCCGAAGCCTCAACGGATGAATGGGGTCAATATCCACAAGTCTTTTGTGGTGACCTCAGATATTGTATAGGATCTCTCCTGCTACTGGCAACTTACTTACGATATATCTAATTACCATTATGATCTTCCTGTGTGTCTGGAATTAGTACGTAGTAGGTATACCTTACTCGGGTAAGTCCTAGTCTATTACCTTCAACTTAGAATAACAATCAAGCATACAGTCAAGATTACTAAGACAGCTATGTAGGAGAGTGCCTGGGCGTCGGCATATAAGCTTCCAAAAGCTACTGAGTATGTCGATTAGTGCATGCCTTCGCAATGACGGCCAGTTTCGGGGGGCCTAGACTGATGCATATATTCTTCATTCGCATATATGTGATGTCATGTTTCGTCCGAAAGCTTCTCCAAGGCTTCGCCTCTGCCGGTCTCGAAAAGGTAAAAATGCCGATTACCTCAGCATGTCTTGAAGCACTCGGTGAAGTAGATACAAGCAGCGGTCCTGATTGGAGGGATCGATTGATTAAACCAACTCAATTAAACAGACTTGCTCCCAACTACTGGAACCAACTGAACAAGTAATAATGCACTAAGTCATGGGTACTAGGTATCAGATGATGAATCCATGTCGTCGCCTTCATCGTGCTTTCTGGCCAACGCAAGTCAATCGACTCCCTCTCTCTCTCAACTCAGTCTTGAATTCAAACAAACGTAGTTTGGGAGCAGATGCTCCAAGACGCTGTAGATAAATCAGGCCTTGAGAGCATTTGCTTTAGATCTTACGTCCCGAAGAATGCACCAGGAGGTCATTTCCTGCGCCTTGTCGTGTCGCGGTTCCTATCGGTCCTTGGGACGGCGGAATTGATCGGTGGAGACCAATCCTTGGGCAAGCAGAGAAGTTTGCCGCAATGCTGTAGCCTGCCTCGGACTTGCCACGAGTATAACTAAGAGCCGGGCTGCTGTTCGGCGCTCAGAAGTCTTTGCGGCATTCTCTCAATCACGGTCTACCATCCAAGCTTGGAATTTCCCTGCGATAGGTCATTGGACTTTCAACCCAAGTGCGAATTAATAACGACCTATAATTTCATGGCTAGTCCCAATCCCGACTCAGTTCCGCCATCCCAGGAGTTCTCGGGCGATGCAAGCATAGACAAAGAGCGTATGCCCAGCGACAATCCCGATCTCGTGGGCTGGGATGGAGATCATGATCCCGTACGCCTCGGCTTCCCGACAAGAATTGCAGAGGGTTCCTGTTCCTGCGCTAACGGCTTTACAGAATCGGCCCTCAAACATGTCCACATGCCGAAAGTATATTATCACCATCAATTTAGGTCTGATCACTTTCTGCGTAACCTTTGCATCCTCTGTCTTCAGCACGGCCACTACTGTCACGTCAAAAGAATTTGGAGTATCGGAAGAGGTAATGGTCCTGGGAACCAGTTTGTTCGTCCTAGGTTTCGCGCTTGGGCCCTTGATTTTTGGACCACTCTCAGAGCTGTATGGACGGAAGATTCCCCTGTTCATCGGGTTCTTCATCTTCGCCATCTTTCAGATCCCTGTGGCGGTAGCTCAAAATCTACAAACGATCTTCATATGTCGCTTTTTAGGAGGGGCTTTTGGAAGTTCTCCTCTGGCTATCGTATGGCGCCCCTCCATGTCCACCCGTTCTCTTGACACACATTGGTACTAATCATGCTGATGACATCTAGGTCGGCGGAATCTTGGCTGATATGTTTGATCCGGTCCAGCGAGGGATTGCAGTCGCAATATTTGCGGCGAGCACTTTCATCGGTCCAGTTGCGGGGCCCATCGTTGGTGGCTTTGTGACAATGTCGTACCTGGGATGGCGATGGACAGCTTGGTTGACACTCATCATGTCAGCCTTCTTCGGAATTATAGGCTTTCTTCTGGTTCCTGAGACCTTCGAGCCTGTTCTACTAACGAGGAAGGCTAAAAGATTGCGCTTGCAGACTAAAAACTGGGCACTTCATGCTCCAGCGGAAGAGCAGAGCACGGAGCTTGGGGATATCTGCGAGCGATACCTCCTCCGCCCTATATTGATGCTATTCCAAGAACCAATCCTTATATTAGTCACTTTATATATGGGGTTCATCTACGGTTTCCTCTACCTCTGTTTTGAAGCGTATCCTATTGCCTTTAGAAATTCGTGGCTGGAATGCCGGCGTCGGAGAACTACCTTTTCTTGCTATTACGGTTGGTGTTCTGATAGCCGTGGGCATTATCATCGCATTCACCATGACTCGCTTCCAGAGGATCATGAATGAACAAGGGTCAGTTCCTCCGGAAGAGCGGCTTCTGCCGATGATTCTAGGCGGCGCGGTGCTCCCCATTGGAATGTTTTGGTTTGGGTGGACCTCGAACAAGTCAATCATTTGGGTTCCAGAGGTCATCGCCGGCGGTGCTATCGGTATTGGGGTGCTGCTGATCTTCTTGCAGGTAGGCTGATTCCCACATTCTCTGAGGGTCAGGTGAATACATGAATTCTGACAACCGTTCCAGGGCCTCAACTATATTATCGACGTCTATAAGATGAACGCGAACTCTGCGATCGCAGCCAACACTCTCTTCAGATCCTGTCTGGGTGCCGGTTTCCCTTTGTTTGCAACTGCAATGGTGAGTTGAACTGTGTTGCAAAACCCGGAGTATCATATTCGGCTAATTTTCTAGTTCCATAATCTGGGGGTCAACTGGGCCATGACACTCCTAGGATGCTTAACTGCCATTCTATTCCCAGTTCCTATTCTTTTTTACATTTATGGTGCCAGAATCCGCAAGATGAGCCGGTTTAGTCCGGATGTTTGATGCCTTCAGGGAGATGAAATAGCACCGGGGGGCTCTTCACCTTGGGCTCGATAGGCAATAGCCACCCAAGTCCGTCCTCGCAATATTTGTCGGAGCAAGCTATGGTCTATTTTCTTTCTTTGTACGGGAATAAAATGAAACTTTTCCAACCTCTCGATACTTTGATTCTTGGTCGAAGGACGTGAGGACCGCCGCCTAGTAGATAACAGAAGTACTGGACCTCGACGGTAACAACGCAAAGATCATACTCCTTATCCTCAATACATCGTCCTCAGTCACGAAGCTGTTCAAGCATACCAAAGATGTCTCAAGTCGAGTACAGCCCCAGACCAGCGGATTCTCGGGTCTTTCGGGTTGCCGAGCATCGGTTCGTGTCTACAGTGTCTACATGATGAATCGCTGTCTCTTCTGCGCGAGGGCATACACGAACCGCCTGTCAATAGAGCCATGCATCGACATGGGCAGCCTAGATACCATTATGGACAAAGCGGTGGAGGTCCTGCGCAGCGCCAAGTTTAATAACACTCCTCGCCTTTTGAGCCATAAAATTGACTCGCATAGCACCCTCACGGGGCTTTAATTGCCCATCTTACTTATCTAACTATGCAACATTTTTCGAGCACTATAAGTTACAATCGGATGGCTCTCCACGTAAATGTTTTACCGATGCCATATCACCCTGGAAAATAGGTCTGGAAATAAGCTGAAACTTCGGCATCGCTTCAAGTTGTCGTACATAAGTCTTTTCCTTACCAAGTGTTCTTGAAGATCAAGATTTGAGGTCAAGTAAACGCCGGATCGGGTATAATGAGTTTACGCGAAAAAGAAAGTCTTGGAAGTGGAAAACGCTTTCTTGGTTCGACCTCATACCATCCTCGTGCGGGCCGAGTCTCGGCTTCTTCGTATTCCAGTTTAATTCCCCTCGTGCCCGTGAACCCCGTCCTACCGATATACTCGCCTTTCTTTCGGGCTCAACCCAAATATATTTATTCTGCGACATAATTTTCTCCGGGTCCGAGTCTCTTCACTTCGTTAATATTTGTGTGAAAGGCAGAGACAGTAGGGATCGTGCTACTCCCGGATGCGGCCCGATAACATGAACGCCGGCTTCAAGGTGGTTTCTCTCGCCTTCGGAGAAAGGGCAGGTAGAACACGGGTTTCTCGCGCTTGTGACCGATGTCATCGGCAAAAGGTAAGCTATCTACTCCGTACATGATGAGTCTATCTGCCAATCCTCATGTTGCATAGATAAAATGCGATGCGGCCCAGCCCCGGTGCAATTGGTGCACTCATCAGGACACCCCCTGTCTATATGATAGGCAACGCAAGACACGTCGCAATTATATGTGAGTGGATTTCTTATATAAAAACCACAGCTTCTTTCAATCTAGGGTCATTGGAGTGGTGCATGAGGAGATTCCCTACTTGGCTCCTCAAGTGTGCGCTGACGTGATTGTCTTTAGGCAGCCGCGAGAGAATGCTAGCAGTTCTCAATACGGTCAGTTCAAATTTCACTTCACAGGCTTGTACAAGCACAGAGCACGAGTTATCTCATTGAATTTCAAGCACCGCAAATACTGAGTGTCATATTAGGACCTCATACCAATGCGTCTGATAATGAGGTGGTGGGAGATTCTACCCTGCCGCCTAGTAAACCTCGAAATCAATCTCCGGCGCATTTGATTGGCAACATCCCTATAGCTGAAGGGAACGCCTCGTTGTCATCGGCTTCAGACACCATACCTGCATTATCGGGCACGCAGGATAGTCAGCCTTCCAGACGATCATCACCGACCATTGGGTCTTTTGACTCTCCGCCCTGGGAGAATGTTGCACAATTTGGCCCCGGTCTGAATCATGAACCGAATTCAATCGACCGAACAAGTCTACCTGAGCATGACGTGATCAGATCCCTGGCCGTTGACTTCTACTCTTCGATTTATAGTTCCATATTCCCGATACTAGACCCCGTTCTCTTCGACCAAACTGTATCGTATGCTTATGAGACTGATGCTCGTGGGCGAGGGGCTAGGAAGTCTGCTTGTCTCTGCGTGTGGGCTTTTCTTGCATTCATGTCAATACATCAACTAGACGCAGGCCATCGGACATCGCCAAGTGAACGTTTGCGCGTTTTGCACTATATTGAGACTTCTATGCATATAGGGCAGGAGCCCGACATAGACCTGCTGCAAACCTCAGTCATTATGATTGTCGTCTACCTTTTCTCGGGGAAACTTCGAATGGCTGTTATGTGGAGCAGTTTCGCCTCTCGAGCAGTACTCCTTCTCGGAGGCCATTCGAAGGCATGCTTCGAGCGCGCGTCGCTCTTTACCAATTCAAGTGAGCTAGGGACTAGGGCAGACGCGCATCTTCGAAACCTTTTCTGGTTGTGCTATCATTTCGATAAAGAACTTTGTCGGCGTACCGAACAGCCACCGTCTCTATCCGACCACAATTGCGACCTGAGTCTTCCTGAAGGCTACAAGGATTATGTTCAATTTACCATGGAAGCAGATAATTACTCACGGCCTCTATTTCCCGGCGAACTCCGGTTGACGGAGATCCGCTCCCGGGCTTATACTGCTTTGTACTCACGACGAGCCCTCGAAAAAAGTGATGGGGAGATTTTGCAAGCCATCCGAACATTGGATGGTCAGCTTGAAGAGTGGCGAATGGCCGTTGCACCTGATCATCGCCCGAAGCTTTTCTTCTCTGCGGCCGCCGGTATTGGCCGGGATGGCGCCGACATGCGGGCGGTCATGCTTCGTCTCGAATTTCACCACTGTCTGGCTTATGTCCATCTGGCAAGCACTCGCTGCAAGTCATGGAGTCCCCGGCATAAAGTAGAGCTGGAGGGAGTCAGTACAAGCTTAGAAATCTCTGTGTCTGCCTGCCGTTCATCCCTGCAATTTCTGCTAGCAGTGAAGCAGGTTTTGAAACCTAAGGTCTTCTGGTACGCAATCTGAACAAAGGCCTACTACCCGTCCGCTGACCATTGGATTCTTATCTCTCGCTGAGTCTTCTAACCTGAGGTCTTCCAGGCTCGTCATATTCTACCCCATAATGGCTATGCAAACGATTCTCTCGAATATCCAGGCAAATCCAAACGCACAAACTGCGACGTACGATGTTGCCCTCATCAGTCAGGTCTCGCAGTTCCTTAATGACCTAGCCACACAAGCTGCACAGCAGAATGAGGGACACGGATCTGAGGACCGAGCTTGTACCTTCGTTGCGGACCTTGAACGCGCAGCGCGCCAGTCAGTATTGAGAAGTGCCCCAGCCACTATCAGCCGGTTGAGCTCTGATGTTGCGGTGTGAGTGCGCCAAACGTGAGCTCGGGAGGACTCTGTGCTCCCTTGGAGGTTGTCCTCCTCGGCAGGCTCGGCGGGAGGCTGTTCGCCGCGCCCAGCCTTGCTCACTTTCTTTGGATGTATTTATGGCTACGACTCAGTAGTAGATATACCGTATCGATCTACAGCAACCCGAGCGGTTATCCATGCACGCGACAATCTAGCGTAGGGAACGAATCAAGTCGGCATGTTGTGGTCAAGCCTGAAGTTGTATTAAGAGTCTGTTGGCTTGTCTGGCTGCAATCTACTCGTTATGGATCAGGATTGATACATCCAAAGTATAGTAGTGACATTTTTGGGCCGAACATCAGCATGCAGTTATCAATGCCTACTTAGCGCAAATGTTGCATATACCCCGGAAGACACATATGGAGTAATGAGAAATATGGTCTATATCTGCCCTGGGCGGCTCGCAGGGCAGTCAGATATACCCCAGCATGATATTTTGGACCCTTACTGTTGTACTCGTATGATCGAACTGGTCGCAGAGAGAAAAAAAGCTGTGTGGAGGTCAATGGATGGGAATTGCATCATCTCTTATCGGAGCGGCCGGGAAAATCCCAGCTCCGTGCGGGCACGTGGCGGCCAATCGTAACCACCGACGGGGGTTTCCGTACCTCCAGCTCCCGGCGGCGAGGAAATCCCCAAATTTATACCGTTGAGGTGGCTTCTTCGTGCTTTCCTCTTCAACTCTCGTTGCGACAGCGGCTCGACATCAGCGGCCCGGATTCCATGGTTTAGGCGTCTCACCACCTATGCTTACCTACTGAGAGGCCTTTTCCATTTCCTAAGTTCGCGTCGTTTGACCCGCGTCGTGGTCATCCGAGTGTCATCATGTTAGTTTCGCCTTCTTTGGCCTGCATGTATCCGCATTCATCTACTAACACGCATGTCTGACCATAGGGCGAGACTCGTGGATGATCACCAGATCAAATATGCATCGCTTCACAATCCCCTTCCCACACAGCTACACACCTACGTCTGGCCTTTCCTGGTTATCTGGCCGGCGTTTTTCGCTTTCTACCTGTCTCCTGAGCGGTACGATACCTACATTCAAGGCCAGGAATGGACCTTCGTTTTTTCTGGCTCGATTATCACGGCGCAGTCACTCCTTTGGCTGATGACAAAATGGAATATCAATATCCAAACCCTATTTACCGCTACCAAGGCCCGGTCGGTCGATTCTGCCCGTCTTATCAAGGTCATCCCGGCCGCCAACGCTGGCTCCGCTGAGATCTGTCCGTTGGTCGTTGACACTCGTGGTGGAAAGAAGACGATCTCGTTCTTGTTCCAGAAGCGCCGTTTTCTTTTCAATGAAGAGACCAAGTCCTTCGCTCCGCTGTCGTACGTTCTTGATGCAGAGCCCAAGCCTGCACTCAAGTTCTTTCAGAAGAGCCAGGGCTTCACGACCAAGGAAGAAATTGAGCGCGTTCGCCACCACTATGGAGACAACACTTTCGACATCCCCGTTCCCGGTTTCGTTGAGCTCTGGAAGGAGCACGCAGTCGCGCCTTTCTTCGTTTTCCAGATCTTCTGTGTCGGTTTGTGGATGCTGGATGAATACTGGTACTATTCCTTGTTCACGCTCTTCATGCTCGTCATGTTCGAGAGCACAGTCGTCTGGCAACGGCAGAGGACCCTCAGTGAGTTCCGGGGTATGAACATCAAGCCTTACGATGTTTGGGTCTACCGTGAGAAGAAATGGCAGAAGATCACCAGTGACAAGCTCTTGCCCGGTGACCTTATGTCTGTCAATCGTACCAAGGAGGATGGCGGTGTTGCCTGTGATATTCTACTCATCGAGGGCAGCGCCATCGTCAACGAGGCTATGCTTTCTGGGGAGAGCACACCTCTCCTGAAGGAATCAGTTCAGCTCAGGCCCGGAGACGACTTGATTGAGCCTGATGGTTTGGACAAGAACGCCTTCGTTCACGGAGGCACTAAGGTCCTGCAGATTACCCATGCAAACACCGCCCCCGAGGATCTCGTCTACAAGAATGATTCGAGCATTCTCCCCACTCCGGATGCTGGCGCGCTCGGTGTCGTCGTTAAGACCGGATTCGAGACCAGCCAGGGTAGTCTCGTGCGCACGATGATCTACTCTACTGAACGCGTCTCTGCCAACAATGCGGAAGCTCTGCTTTTCATTCTGTTCCTTCTCATTTTCGCCATCGCCGCCTCTTGGTACGTCTGGCAGGAGGGTGTTGCGCAGGACCGCAAGAGGTCAAAGCTTCTTCTTGACTGTGTCTTGATCATCACCAGCGTCGTCCCTCCCGAACTACCCATGGAACTTAGTCTTGCCGTCAACACCAGCTTGGCTGCCTTGAGCAAGTTCGCCATCTTCTGCACGGAACCTTTCCGGATTCCTTTCGCTGGACGCGTCGATGTTGCCTGCTTTGACAAAACCGGCACGCTCACTGGTGAAGATCTTGTTGTTGACGGTATTGCTGGGCTTACTCTTGGTCACGCCGGTGCTAAGGTTGAATCGGACGGCGCGCACACCGAGCTGGCCAAGGGTGGTAACATCGGACTTGACACTACGCTTGTACTTGCAAGTGCTCACGCCTTGGTCAAACTCGATGAGGGTGAAGTGGTCGGTGACCCCATGGAGAAGGCTACTCTGAAGTGGCTTGGTTGGACCCTCGGCAAGAACGATACCTTGACTGGCAAGGCCACGCCTGCCACTGGTCCCGTCGTTCCCGAGTCCGTTCAAGTTGTGAGGCGGTTCCAGTTCTCTTCTGCGCTCAAGCGCCAGAGCACGATTGCTACTGTTGTCCTTGATGATCGCAAGGCCCACAAGAAGGTCAAGTCTACCTTCGTGGGTGTTAAAGGTGCTCCTGAGACTATCCGTACCATGCTTGTTGATACTCCTCCGGGCTACGAAGAGACTTACAAGTACTTCACCCGTAACGGTGCCCGGGTCCTTGCTCTCGCTTACAAGTATCTTTCCCATGAGTCCGAATTTTCTCGCGGACGCATCAACAACTACACCCGTGAGGATGTTGAGTCTGATTTGACCTTTGCCGGCTTCCTCGTCTTGCAGTGCCCTCTGAAGGACGACGCCATCAAGGCGGTCCGCATGCTCAACGAGAGTAGCCATCGTGTTGTTATGATCACCGGTGACAACCCGCTGACTGCCGTCCATGTTGCGCGTCAAGTCGAAATTGTGGACCGTGAGGTCTTGATCCTCGATGCTCCTGAGAATGACAAGTCTGGAACAAGGCTGGTCTGGCGAAGCATTGATGACAAAGTTAACATTAATGTCGATCCTACCCAAGCCCTCGACCGTCGCATCCTGGACACCAAAGACATCTGTGTCACAGGCTACGCTTTGGCTAAGTTCAAGGGACAGAAGGCCTTGCCCGATCTTCTTCGTCACACCTGGGTTTACGCCCGTGTCTCTCCCAAGCAGAAGGAAGATATTCTCCTGGGTCTCAAGGATGCCGGTTACACGACTCTGATGTGTGGTGATGGTACCAACGACGTTGGTGCTCTGAAGCAAGCTCATGTTGGCGTTGCCCTTTTGAACGGTTCCCCTGAGGATCTTCAGAGGATCGCCGACCACTACCGAACAACCAAGATGAAGGAAATTTACGAGAAGCAGGTTGGCATGATGCAACGTTTCAACCAGCCCGCTCCTCCGGTTCCTCTTCAGATCGCCCACTTGTACCCCCCTGGTCCCAGCAACCCCCACTACCAGAAGGCTATCGATCGTGAAGCGCAGCGCAAGGGCGCCGCCAACCCAGGTGCACAGGGCCAGGCAGAAGCAATTCCAACCATTACCTCCCCTGGCGCCCAAGCCCTACAGCAGTCCAACGCCAATTTGACCCCCGAACAACAGCGGCGGCAACAGGCAGCGGTGTCCGCTGCTGGATTCGCTGACAAGCTCACCACGTCCATGATGGAACAAGAACTCGATGACAACGAACCCCCGACTCTGAAGCTTGGAGACGCCTCGGTCGCTGCCCCGTTCACCAGCAAGCTTGCCAATGTCATCGCTATTCCCAATATTCTTCGTCAGGGACGCTGCACACTTGTTGCAACCATCCAGATGTACAAGATTCTCGCCTTGAACTGCTTGATCAGTGCATACAGTTTGAGTGTCATCTACCTGGACGGCATCAAGTTTGGTGACGGTCAAGTCACCATCAGCGGTATGCTGATGAGTGTCTGCTTCCTTTCCATCTCCCGCGCGAAGGTTAGTTACATCTGATGCATACAACCCTTTATCTTTGCTTTACTAACTCCCGGAGCTAGTCTGTGGAAGGGTTGTCCAAGGAACGTCCGCAACCGAACATCTTCAACGTCTACATCATCGGCTCTGTGCTTGGTCAATTTGCTATTCACATTGTTACCTTGATCTATCTGTCAAACTACGTCTACTCAATCGAACCGTGAGTTACTCCATCTATTACGAACAACAAGGTTGCGGAGAAATGCTAATTGGTAATAGGAGACAATCCGATATCGATCTGGAGGGAGAGTTCGAGCCGTCGCTTCTTAACAGCGCCATCTACCTGCTTCAGCTCATCCAGCAGATTTCGACCTTCTCGATCAACTACCAGGGTCGTCCCTTCAGAGAGTCGATTCGTGAGAACAAGGCAATGTATTGGGGACTGGTAGCTGCCTCTGGGGTTGCTTTCTCCTGCGCCACGGAGTTCGTTCCGGAGCTGAACGAGAAGCTGCGCCTTGTTCCCTTCAGCACTGAGTTCAAGGCTACTCTGACTGTCCTGATGGTCTTCGACTACGCTGGATGCTGGATCATTGAGAACGTGCTCAAGCGACTGTTCAGTGACTTCCGGCCAAAGGATATCGCTATTCGCCGGCCGGATCAGCTCCAGCGTGAGGCGGAGCGCAAGCGCCTGGAGGCGTTGGAGCAGCAGACAGAGACAAAGGCATGAGGAGGCTTAGAAACAATTCAGGGTGTTGGGTACATTAGAGAGACCTCTATGATTATGTCCTGTCTAGATATATACCATTATGCTGATTGGTGAGTAGGGCCCTTATGGCCATAGGAATGTGTGTTCATAGAACAAATGAAGTCATAGAAGGATTTTGCGTCGTGTCTTATGCATTGTAGATTGACGTAGTGATTGAGACACTTGCTTTAATGTAAACCGCATTGGAATGTGACAATTTGGATCATTCATTAGTTGTAATCAACAATGTTGCATACGATGTTGTGTAGAACCATGAATTTGTGCCTCAGGTGTGCAAGTAAGCCGGCGAGCGATAAGCCAGTTTCCGGCTCCGTCTGTCACCTTCCCTCCTCCCCCCCTTTGAAGCTCCACCTTCGGGCAAGGCTGCCGCTGGACTGACGCTCTCTCCCTCTCACAACCGTCCCCCCTCCCATTCACCCCCCTTTTGGCGACAACTCACTTCTCTTTCTTTTACTGCTCCTTCTTGTTCCTCTCCTTTTCCTTCGCTCCACGTGGGCTTCCGTCTCTCATGCGCTCATAGTCTCCAGCCAAAATGTCCCGGAGGACGCTGGGTGGAGGTCGTGTTCTAGGCCCCGCGAACGCTCGTTCTCCATCCGCTGCTGCGATCCCGTCTCCGCAACTGAACCATCCAAGGAACCTTGTCTTATCGCCCTCCGCCAGCAGTCTTTCCCTCAGTTCCCAGGCGTCCACTTCTCAATTCTCGTCCGAAGCCCAAGATTTGACCTCGCGCATCTCCCTCGAAAATGCCTCCACCGCGATACCTGCCGCTCCGGCGGCTGCCGGAGCTCAGCTGGTCTGTCCGATTTGCAGTGAAGAGATGGTATGGCAGCGATGCTTCCCCTTCCCCCCCATCGAGTGCCGGCAGACTGACCAGAGTGTGGACTCTTAGGTGACACTACTACAATTGAACAGGTACGTCAACGCTCGCTACCTTCGTTGATCGGCGCCACACAGCTAATTCCATTTCTCTCCTGCTCTCCGCTAGACACATCGATGACGTACACCAAAACCTGGAAGATGATCGGCAAGACGAAGTCAAAGATTGGTTCAAGACGCAGATGGATAAAGCGAAGCGGTTCCAACCTCTTGCGGTGTTGAACCAGAAACTCAAGGGGCTCGACGTGTTCGAATCGAACGAGAACCTCCAGCTGCCCTTCGCGGGGCCGAGTCGTGCGTCGTCGTCCGGCCCGACCGCATCAACCCATTCACATGCGAATCATCCGCCGCCACCGCCATCGTCGTCGGAGAGACCGCTCGATCCAGATGATATCATTACGAAGGAACATTGGCAGGGTCGGACCCTGTACGACTCGTGCTTGGAGCCGTCGTGCGGGAAGCGGTTGAACACAACGAATGGCTGCGTCAACTGTCGCAAGTGCGGGAAGCTGTTCTGCGAGGAGCATACGATGTATCAGATGAAGCTGTCGAGGTCGGCGCAGCATGAGCCGGTCCGGGGTCTGTGGTGTCGGGTTTGTGAGACCTGTTACAAGTCCAGAGAGGGGTATAATGATCATACTGGTAATTTTCGGCTCCTGGCGGTATTGAGGGGGGGAAGAATCTCGGTAGACTGACTGGTTTGGAAATAGGTTTGACGCGAGACCGGATGGATGAATTCAAGGCTGTCCGGAAATATACGGTCGACAAGGCGCTGCTGGAGGTGTCGCGTCTGGAGAAACGTCTGACGCGACTCACTCAGTTGTTAGCGAGCTTGCCGGTGGATCAGATTCAATCGAATGCCAATAAACTGTGGTCGCTTTCGTGGCAGGGCGACCAGCGGAAAGCTCTGGAGCAGACCATCGTCAGCTGGCAGGACGATGCAAGCGTCCTCCGCTGTCCCTTTTGCCAGCAGGAATTCTCCAGCTACACTTTCCGGAGACATCATTGCAGAACTTGCGGGCGGGTTGTATGCGGTGATCCTGCAACGGCCTGTTCCACCGAAGTTCCCTTGAGTATATCGTCCCGTACGTTGCCATTGTGATCCGTCATCGGGGGATACTAGCTTATACAATTTGACGTTGGCAGAGTCAGCAGTCGCTACAACACCCGCGGAAAAATCAGATCGCGCCGGCGTGATCAATGTTGATGTCAGGCTATGCAAGGACTGCCGATCGACCTTGTTCGATCGACGTGATTTTGAAGCTGAACTTCTCCGGAAACCCCCAGCTGTGAGGGCTTATGAGAACCTCACACAGTTCGAGAGAGGCATTCGGCTCTTGTTACCGAAGTTTCAGAAGCTCTTAACAACTTTGCAGTACGTACACTTTAGCAGTTTGCGCTGGTCTTAGAAGGGAGTCATTAACTTTTGTGGGCAGAGATCCTCGACGACCCCCCTCATCAGCACAAATCGCGGAAGCTTCCAAGGTCCGTAAACGACTCACGGACTCGTTCGCCCAGTATGATGTCGCGGCCAGACGGATCCGGGATATGCCGACGGAGTCGCCCACACAACAGCGCCTGCAGAAGGCCATCTATCAGCAGGCAAGCAATTTTTTGCATCTACACATGTTACCGTTGAAGACGCTCCCCAAGCTACTCAAACATGCCACTCCCAATGGAAATGGACGACTGCCTGGCTCCAGTAGCACCCCCGGGAGTCCAAGTCAAGGGCCCGTCGGCAGCCCTCGACGGCCCGAGTCCGCTTTGGCGTCCATCAAATATGGTAGCATTGCAGCTAGCGCCAGCACGAGCAGCCTCGCCAGTGACACGAGCAGCGCTGTCTCCGCGCTGGAGGCGGAGGAGAAAGCCCTCCGGGAGCGGCTGATTGTGCTCGAGGAACAGAAGTTCTTCGTGTCGGAGATGATTGCCGACGCGAACCGACGCCGCAAGTTCGATGAGGTCAGCAGTCTGGCGATGAATGTCGAGGATCTCACGCGGGAGATAGACCGGGTCAATGGGATGCTTGACGGATTAGACTTTGAGGGCGTCTACACCGGCCATCGTCAGCCGGATAGTTGATGTTGGTGTGCTATACTCCATTAGTTGACCTTTTTTGCCTTTTGATTCTTTACTACAATTGAATTCAAGCCCAGTGCAGGCACGGCGTTGTGGGTCATTGTCAGTTTTTGCGTTGAAGCTGCATAGCATGGGCGTTTTGTATGTATGTATGTATGTATGAAGTGTTATGCATGCGTGGTTGGATGACGGACGGGAAGACCCATCGAATTGAATGATAAGATTGTTCATTGAGTGGAGTACAGCGTAGTCTAGATACTGTATTGCGTGCAAGGTTGGGAAGACTCGGAGCAGCTTTGCAAGGGAGGAGCAGCCGTTGCATGGCATCGCAGTTGCAGCGACATTTGCCTTTTTTGACATGTCCTCCCCCTCCTTTCCCCCCCATCCATCCCGACATTCTCTCGAATTTGGAACCCTATGTTTTTGCCCGGAAGTAAATAGTAATCACCCGCCCTCCTATCCCTCCTCCCACCAAAGCAATCCATCCAATTCAGCAACAACCACCCCAATCTCCGAATCCACAACTGATAACCGCCTGCACAATAGCACTGCACTGTAGGTACTGTACTTTGCATGCCCCAGCAAGAGAAAATCAAGCACGCCACACGGAGCCCCCCGGACCCGAGGACCCCCGATTCCCTTCCCCCAATCCGCAACCCGACCTCCAACGGCAACCACACCCGCCCAAATTCCAACCCAAGCTAAACTAGTACTCATAGCAAGGCAACCGGCCCACGATCAAACCCATGATCCATGCTCGAGTCCTTCCAGGGAGGCAATTCGAGGGGACTGGAGTAGCACGAACCATACACACCCCCCAAGTTCCAACCAGTGATTAGGGCACACGTGGCCTGGCAAATTGCGGGTCTATTGCTTGCTTGCTTGCTGTACACTTCACTGATGCTGCTGCTGCTGCAGGCAGGCAGGCAGGCAGGCATTGGAGAAGACGGCGGGGTTAGTTATGTTGTTCTTCCTCCTAGTGGATTCCCCATGAGGCTAAATGTGGTCTCTGTCCGGGGGTCCGGGTTGGTGGGTGAAGTGAGGGTTGGGGCTGGGTTGGGGTTGGGTTGCGTAGGGTAGAGGTAGGGTAGTAGGGTAGCCGGGGTGGGTTGGTCGTTCTGGCCTTCTTTCCTTCATCTTCTTCTTTCCCTGAGTCTTCTTTCTTCTTCACTTGTTTCATTTTTTTTTGAAGGTAAAGGCTTGATGCTCGATGCTTATTGTTACTGATCATTTGGATCCCGATTTCAAATTCTGTGAGATTATACTCCGTATATCAGCGAGTTCGTACTCGACTTCCATTTGCGAAACTTCTGACTCGGGACGCATCGCATTGGCTGGTGGGGTTGTTTGGCTGTGCTGCTGCTGCTACTACTGCACTGCCGCTGCTGGCTGCAACTCGCTGCCTTATATTGTCAGTAGTGCTGTGTTGTGCTGTGCTGTGCTGTGCTTGGAGAGGGGTGAGGGGTGAGGGTGTGTGAGGTGTACAGTGCACCCATCCATCAACATCATCTGCGGGGCTTCGGCTTGGGCTTGGGAGCGTGAAGAGGTGTGTCGGGGAGAAGGGAAAGGCGTTGCAGGTGTTTCTGCCATGAATGCTTGCTCTTGCCCCCTTCTTCTGTTCAAGAGGTTGTGAAGCTCGTTATCCGGAGTCGATCTGGGGTACTTACTACTAGCAACAGCTCAACTCTGAGGGGTGAGGGTTGTAGTCTGTGGTTACTTACCCACTTGCTTGTAGGTATCTGTGCCTACGTCCGGTTGGGTCAGGCGCTACTCTTGTTGCTGGAGTGCCTCGCCTCTTTTCTTGCCTCCTCTTGTTTTGATCTCACCTACTTTGCGTTCAGACTCGGGTCTGTCTACAGGGTATACATCGCACGGTGTTACATACTACGACTATCCTAAAACCACACCACGCTCTAAACCCTAACATACACCTCAACAAGCAGAAATGGCCGACCCCCCGCCCCCCAAAGACAAACTCGAAGTCGCCCTCTTCCTCGCCGCCACGCAGGGCTACGACACCATCGTCACCCTCCTGTTGGGCACCCCAGGCGTCAAACTCGAGAGCCGCGACGAGCTCGGCCGCACCCCGTTCTTCTGGGCCGCCGCGCACGGCCACGACAGAGTCCTGCAACTCCTGCTGGGCACGGGGGCTGTCGACCCTAATGTGCGCGAGACGGCCCGCGGCGGGCTGTCGGCGCTGAGCGCCGCGGTCGAGGGCGGGCACGCGGCCGTTGTGACCCGTTTGCTCGGGGTCGGGGTTGATGTGCAACCGGCGGATGGGCAGGGGAAGACGGCGTTGATGTATGCCGTCGGGAGTGTTGAGGATCCCGGGGTTCGTTTGGCGATTGTCACAGCGCTGGTGGGGGCCAAGGCGGAAGTGAATGTTCGGGATGAGGCGGGGAGGGTGCCGTTGGGGGTCGCGGTGGAGAAAGGAGATGCGGCAGTCGTCGGGGTTCTGGTTAAGGCGGGAGCGGATGTCAATGTGCGGGATGGGAAGGAGGAGAACGGCGTCAGGCCGTTGGAAGTAGCGGTTGAGAAGGGGGATGTTGATGTTGTGGAGGTTTTGGTGGATGCGCAGGCAGATCCGAATACGGGGTTGGATTGTGAGGAAGAGGGGGAGGAGGGGGAGGGAGAAGCTGCTGCTGCTGCTGCTGCTGCTGCTGCTCGGGCACCGCCGTTGTCGGTGGCGGTGAGGAAGGGGAATGAGACGATTGTACAGTTGCTGCTAAAGGCTGGCGCGAATCCCGATGCTAAAGACCTGGCTGGCCGCGCGCCGCTGTCGGTGGCGGTTGAGAAAGGAAATGAAACAATTGCGCAATTGTTACTCAAGGCTGGCGCGAATCCGGATGTTAGGGATGGGGATGGGAGGCCGCCGTTGCTGTGGGCTGTGGAAAAGGGCTCCGAGGAGGTGGTGCGGTTGCTGATCGCCTCGCGGAGAATCAACCTTGATCTCGTGGATGATGCAGGCCGGTCAGCTCTCTGGTGGGCTGCGCGAGCGGGTTTGCTCTCGATCGTGCGGTTGCTGGTTCGGCACGGGGCTGACTTGGAGATTCGGCCGACAGAGCCTGAGGATGCACAGCAGCAGCAACAGCAACCTTGCGGGACTGCCTTATATCAAGCCGGTCGACGCGGTCATGTTGAGGTGGTCAAGTATCTGCTGAAGAAGAAGGCCGACATCAATGCCCCAGCTCGGGGCCTGTCCCTGCTGATGTCCTTGGTCTTGTATGATCGGGGCAAGCGGGGACGGAAGATGATAGAATTGCTCCTCGACGCAGGGGCTGATGCCAACACCAAGGATACCTCCGGGCGAACGATTCTAGACATCGCAGCAGCCGACGGCGATGTTGAGCTGGCTAAAATCGCCCTCGACAGCGGCGTAGGACTCGAGGCTACGGCAGAGGACGGCATGACGGCGTTGCACCGGGCGGTCATCAACCGCCACGACCACATCATGGACATGCTCCTCGACTATGGTGCCGACCCGGAAGCCCAGGACGGCAATGGGGATACGCCTCTACACTTCGCAGCCGCCAGCGGTCGGCGGAATCTGTTCGAATTGTTCCTGGAGAAGTCGCCCGATATCAACGTGACCAACTTCTCCGGTGAGAGCCCCCTGCATAAGGCCGTCCAACGGGGCCGGCGGAAAATGGTCGAGTATATGGTCCGCAACGATGCGGACCTCGAGGTGCGTGACGACTACAAGCGAACGCCGTTGCTCAAGGCAGTGGGGGCGGAGAACCACGTTATGAGATTGCTGGTCAACAAGGGAGCTCATGTGCATGCGAAGGACATGTTCGGGCAGACGGCGCTGCATATGGCGGCAGAGGCCGGGCTGGCCGACGATGTGTACTTCTTGCTGGGCCATGGCTTGTCGGCGAGCCTGCCGGATGATCGTGGTCGAACCCCCAAGGAGCTTGCAGCTAAGAATGGAAGGAAAAATGTTGTCGCCCTCTTTAAGCGGATGGAATTGATTGCTCCGAAGCACGAGGAGGATGAGGACTCTTCGGAAGGATGAGTATACCGGCTGCGGGAGAAAGGTCATTGGAGTTCTGGATTTTGTGTACGTAGTAAATTGAGTGTTTATTAGCGCATGTACAGGTTGTCGGTGAGACAAATGCACCGTACCTATAAGCGACAATGGATATCGTCATATGTGATTAGAATGGAGGATTCGGCAGCTGCGTTCAGAACCATGGGCAGCAATTGGGAGAGTTCCGCCTTGTAGTACAAAACAAACTGATTATCGACAATGGGCATAGAAAGGCAAAAAAAGGAAGGTTCGCACATCAATGGCAAGTCAGCGAGCAAAAAATGGGTGAGAAGCAAAAAGTGAAGCCCAACGCGGGGGTTGAACCCGCAACCTTGAGATTAAGAGTCTCACGCTCTGCCGATTGAGCTAGCCGGGCTGGTTGTTGAAGATGTCAAAGGTCTTTTGTATGATGGTGAAAATAAATGCCTTGAAAACAATGGAAAATACCTGTGTGGTGCTGAAAAAGCAAGTGGTGCTGAAAAGCAAGAGAGCCGAGCGCCGGCTCTACCGTAGAGCTCTTGTCTATGAGGTACGCTCCGGTTAGCAATGTTCTCCATTGGCAGCATGGGATGCACCACCAACCTCACAAGGTGGGTATTTGTCACGTTCTAGCTGGTGATTCGGGCCCGTGAACTATTAGGCTCGTTTTATCTCGGGTAAAAGACACAAAAAAAGGAGTAGAGAGGCTGGTCCGGAACCAATCAAAAAGTAAAGCCCAACGCGGGGGTTGAACCCGCAACCTTGAGATTAAGAGTCTCACGCTCTGCCGATTGAGCTAGCCGGGCTGGTTTGTTGAAGAGTGCTACGCTGGATAGCCCTATAACCGCCGAATGGAATGTGTAACCTTCACCACTTATGTCCCGACCGGGGCATTGGGGTAGCACTGTGAACTATTGCTATATCAGCGAATGTGATACTCGTTACATGTATCTTCAGGGCCATAGATTTTGAGGCATCTCGGTCGGTATTCGGGTCTTACCTGGTCGACTGGCTGCGCGTCAACGCTGGGCTGGCGAGCGGATGGTTGCCCACGATTGGGGCCAGGTCTGAATGATGTACTTGGTAGAGTAAGTACACCAGCTGTGCTGGTCAGGGATTCGGCTAGCTCCTCATTCATGTGCGGCTGTGTCACTTGCTGTGTCTTGTTCTAAGGGTGTAAGAGTTGGGATGCCGAGCGCAGCATCGACGATGCTTGCTGGGCTGGGCTTGGGTTGTATGGACCTGACGGCCTCGTCGTCGGTTGCTCTTGTGGATCTGTCTCGTTATGGTGTGTGACTTTTGTGTGGGAGGTGGCATCTGTGGAGTTTCTGCTGTGTTCGTGCTTTTAAACGTATGGTCGGTGTAGGCCACGTTTCGGATTGTCGGCCATGAGATGGGCCTAGCCGAGTGTTTGCACATAGATATATCTTGCCCAGAAGACACGACGGGTAAAGACCGGGCTCGAGAAGGATGAACCGTCAAAGTGTAACCATCTCCGAAGGGATCAATGATAGCCAACTGACATACCGGGTGGAATAGCCGAACCAGTATGCTTGAGGAGTGGAAAGCAGTGTTAAGCCATATCTCACCGTCTTCCACACGACAGCGACTCGTGATAGTAGCATTAAGCCCGATTTGGTGGCGTGCATGACTAGCGTTACGTATTGATATAAAGCCAAGATTGCATTCACTTTCAACAAGTCAGCCCGGCTAGCTCAATCGGCAGAGCGTGAGACTCTTAATCTCAAGGTTGCGGGTTCAACCCCCGCGTTGGGCTTCACTTTTACTTTTGTTATTTTTTGCTGGTCGGATCATAGGGGACTCTTGCCTCAAGCAAGCATCATCGATTGGCCAGCCCGTATTCAGACTGGAATTTCAATAAGCGGCCCGCATCGGGCTCCAAAAAGCATTCACCAAAAACAGAAACTACAAAGAAAGGATCTACAATTGCCAACGGTGACTGTACATTGCCCACCCTACAAGCTGGAAACAACCACCCTGGGGCAATCTCAGGTGATATTTCCTCCCGTAGAAGAAGCCCTAATCCTCGTCCAGCATTGTTGAGCTCGACTCCCCAATCATCGTGCCCCGTCTAGCTTTCTCCTCCGTCAACTGCCGCACGGTCTCGGTCAAAGCCATCACCTGCTCCTTCAACTGCACGAGCTCGGCCGTGGTACTATCCACATGGAGGTTCGGCGCAGTTTCCTGGACGGATTGCCTCCAGGCATCGTCGATATCGAAGTCCACCTCCTCAGCAGCATGCTCCCACTCCTGGATACTATCGTCATCCTCTTCCCCACGGCGCCGGTTCCATCTGATCCGCCTCGCGTCCCGGACCTCCAGGAATGCAGTAATCAGCAGAATAGGCGAGTAGATAATGCCCATGATCACATCGTTCAACTTGGCATAGTGCTGCCGTGGCAACCACCACTCGAAAGGGAGAACTAGGAAGATTATCTCCAGCAAGTTGAAGGCTTCATCGTAGTTATTAGCCCCGGCCCGTATCTCGGAGTAACAGGACTTACGAGGTATAAAGACATTTTCGTCAGGAGCTCGCACAAATTGCATGGTCTTCAACGCAAAGGCAGCCATGTATTCATCAATGGCATTCCCCGAGATGTCCTCATAGGCACTGTTGTACAATGCAATGAGGATATTCAGCAAGACTAGCAAGAGTTAGTCACCATAGCGAAGTAGAGAGCGGGGTACTCACTCGTCATCACCACGAAGTTGAAAAGATAGTAGAGAATGATGCCGAAAGGAAAAGCAAAGTCTTCAAAAGTGCCGAACTCCGGACTCTGCATGATACTGTTCGCCATACCCTGGATGATGCTTCTCGTGATCGGAATGTCATTGTCCACTTGAGCCATACCAATGAAAGCTTGGAAGAAACCCGCCAGCACGACAAAGAGAAGAGCAAAAAAGATCAAGCTCTCTTTCATCATGACCCGTAGCACCACAAACATAGCACCGAAGAACCGGAACGAGTCAAGATAGAGCATCATGCGCATCCAAAACATGGGTCCTGCGAAGGCAAGAAAGTTGTAACTGAGCTCATTGAACTTCTGCCGTTCGACATCATGCACCGACGGGGAATGAGCCAGAGCCACAACTCGTAGAACGAAGGAAACCACCAAGAGAGAATAGAGGGTAGAGTTGAAAGCGTTCCAGAAATCGATATAATGCCAGCCGACCTTCCAGACCTTGGCGATCTCATCACAAATAAATGCAAGGGTCATCACATACAGAACACCTTCGACCACATCCAGATCACCAGAGGGATTGACCGTGTTGATGACCTGGGTATACAGACCGAGATAAACCAGAGAAAAGAAAATCTGGCAAACGTTTTGGTAAAGGGGTGTCCGCATACGATCCGGATGGAAATGGACCTTGAAACTCGTATTGTCCCTCTCCTGGTAGGGCACGAAGTTGGTGGGATTACCCTCCTGCTGGCAGAACCAACCATTCCAGAGATAGCGGATACACTTCTGGTATCCCGAAGACCCAATCACCCTGAGGGCATGGAGGTCGACCGCGCGCTCAATGACGTTGGCTGGCACGGTCTCCTCGCCATCAAGATAGAGTGAATACCGTTTCAGCAAGACCTGCGCAAGGAGGGCATCTTGATCTTCCTCGCTCTCAATTCTAGAAACAGTCAGTCCAGTCAGTCCGCGTTACCGCGAGGCTTGGATTAACCCTACATGCGCTTCGCGATGACTTCACATGCAAGAGCTCGACGTTCATGCAGGTCTGAATCCCAGAGCTCTTCCAGAGCCTGGATCTTGAACCAACGTAAGCACACGAGCAGGCAGAAAGGTACGCAAGCCCGTAAGTCATCGCCACCCGCCTGACAAGCGGTCTGGATGACATTCTTGGTGATAATCCGACTGTTGGGAGCGGTGAGGGCATCCTCATTGACCTCACACGATATAACCTGCTCGATCTGGTATTTAAGTCGAAGCGCAATCCTAGTCACCTCCTTAGAGGGGCGCGTAGAAGAGACTGCATCGTCGGTGAAGGTGGGAAGCACTACCATGGCCGTTAGCTGCCCGATCTCCGGCTCGTATTCTACGCTGGGTTACACAATGACATGACGTACGACGGTGTCGCTCCATATGCCGATGATGTCGAGTCCGCACAGGGTCAGTGGTAATAATATCTCGCCAATGACCCATCTTTTACCGAGATAATCGAAAGGTTGAAGTGGGTGAGAGAAGACCGGGTTGAATGGGAAGAGTCAGGAACTTGGGAGGACAAGCTGAATGAACGGCGATGATGGATGGGTAGACGGTATACCCAAAACGGCGTCTAGTCTAGGTCCAACCAAGTCGAGCATCCCGCCTGCCCCACCAATTTACTTTCCCCTCAATGACTTACAGTGCCATTGAGACTTTTTTTTTAATGGCACTGGACTCAAACCACTACTCACTGCCCAGGTGGAATCGAAATCTAGCTACGGCAAGCATGGCTGGAAGAATCATCCTCCCACCCCCACGCCTGGTAACATCGACATCCATCAGGCGTATAGCCATAATTAAAGTCATAGTCAATGATAGAACAGCAGAAAAGGGGATTTTGAGTCAGTGTCTAACATGGCCACTGGCGTGAACTCGTAGATCAAAGAAGCTTATGTACACCAGAATCTGCGAAGCTCCTCTCGGTCGGAGGCCAGTCATTACCAGAGGCGTAACCAGCAGCTACTGCAGTGGCTTCCTCAACACATGAGACCGAAAGTTGGTCCCTCGTTTTCTCACATGGTCTCGACCATCGCCGATGATCTCGATTCGCCCCGTCGCGCGTCAAACCGTACCTCCGTCTCATAAAATCGTGTCACGTCCAAATACTCTATTGAACTTTTCCGATCCCTGTCCATCGTGCTCAACCATGTCCTCTGATACTCGATACTGATTAATCACAGTTCGTTAGACGAACTGTTGTATCCTCCCCCGTTAACCATCATTTGAGCAAGTCCGTAGACCACCAGACGGTATCAGTCGGCATATCCATGCGCGATTTACTCAAGGTTACCCTCATCGCTCTCAGAATCATCCTCATCACCGCTGACCAACATGACCTCACGCTCACGCTTCTCCATGAGCTCCTGGAGGGCAGCATCATCGTGCTCGGTAACGGCCTTGGGAGCCATCTTGACTGTGCAGGCACCGCCGGACTCCTTGATCTTGGCCTCAATCCGTTGGATGGCCTCCTCGAGCTGCTGGATACCGATAGCCTTGTCCAAGCACTGGCTAGTCAAGACGTACAAGGGCGGGGCGACCAGCTTGACCTTGATCTGGCTTTCGGCGTTGTTGTTGGCCTCAGCGGTGCGCAGGGCCTCCTTGACTGCATCGATACCATCGTAGCCGAAGCAGGTAACCTCAATATCGGCACGGACCTTGGTGGGGTGAGGGGTGAGTCTCTTGCTGATGTAATGCGTCAACTCCTTCTTGACGGCTTCGCTGGGGAATTCGACGTCGTTCCACACATCGGGGTTCCTAAGATAACCATAAGTTACACGGTCCATCGGTGGCATTGTTGCCCGCGAGTGCAGCCTTACGTGATGGAGATCTTGAAAGCATCGTGGGAGTGGCCGTATTTGCGGTTCAAGGGCCATCCGATCTGCTGGTATAGGGTCTCAAGAGGGGTTTGGGTGGCCTCGGCGACATGGCGCATGATGGAGTGCACAGCCTTGCTCTTGTTGTATCTCTCCTCACACTTGATAACATCCTCGGGGGAAACACGACGCTTGGACAGATCGATATAACCTGATGACGGGAAACAAAGAGATGTCAGCGGACCTCAGTTCGATGACGGCCAGATCAGTTGCCCTTACCCTTCTCCTTGTCCACACGGAGCACGATGACGACCTCGTTACGGCCAATACGGATGAGCTTCTGGATACTGCGGATACGTCTGCGCGACAGTTCGGAGAGCAGGATCATGCCGTCAATGTTGTCATATTCCAGCAGCTTCACGTATGCGCCCATTTCGGCGATCTAAGCATTGCAGAACCGCGACTGTCAGCCAATGTCTCCTGCTGTCACTTCTCCCGGATCCAGCAGATACGTACCTGCTTCACATTGACCATGACATAGCTGTCCACCTCCGGATACTTCTCCTCGTAGAAACGGGAATTTGTCAACGACATTTTCGGCGGGGTTGCGCCTTGTGCTGGGCAGAGCTTTGAGCGGGGTTGTAAGGTCGGACTGGGACCGGGAGAAAATGGGATAAACCGAGACTGAACGGTCTCAAGTCGATATTGCCGGGAAATTCACCGAAAGGGGAGCGAAGGTGTTTGCGAGATGGGGTAACGAGGCTTGCCACTTAATCGGGATCACAGAAGCACATTTCGAAAAACCCACATTTGGGCCTCGCGCTTGGCTGAGTCATCACGTGCTGTGCGGGTGATTCTCACCGCTCGGCAGAATCCACCCGATAGATAATCGCTACAGTACGATAAGGCAGGCATTACTTCATCCCCAACCTGTTAACTTACCCCTTCTTTGCCTCTTACTACCCGCTGGGATAATTACTCACTCTTTTAGATGCGTGTGGTGGCGGGGTGAAAGAGGTTGGAAGATAGGTCCAGCTTCAGACACGTTGCTCGGCACCGATTTTTCTCTCTTCTGCTCCATTGGTCTTTTGGTATGTGCCTTCGTCCAATGTCTACTAAGCAATCCTATCCTATGGCTTTGCTTGCTCCGCCTATCTGCTGACGATCCCGCTAACTCTCTTAGCAGTAGCCACCGCGCCCTGCGCTACGAATCCCGCGCTTTTTGACTCGCTGCTATGCCCTGGACAGTCCATCTCCTAGTTGTGCTATCTTAGTTGTTTCATTCTTTGGAAAAAAATTTTGCAATCTCTTTTATTTCTACCACATCTGCCGCATATGGCGTATAACGCACCCCTCTAGACTGTCGCATTCCAGATATATTTGGTGACTCGGTGGATCTTCCTCGAGACATTATGCCGGAGACAAACGAGCATCTCCGACAACACCGCTCTTTGCGGGACCAGATCGTGGGCCTTTTTCAAGGATTTTCGCAAAGCAGCTCCGATGCCTCCCACACAGAACGGATCATCGTGCCCCGAGAACCTAGCGATAGAACCCGCTTGCTGAAATCCTACGATGGCGATGACCCTGCATGTGGTCTGAGAGATGCTTGCAACCACGGTACATTCTCACCGAGACCGGGTAGTGAGGAATACCACGATGGTACTCCTGGGCCAGATTTTGTCCAGGGCCCCGAGAATATGCCCAGGACAGGGTCAACGGCAGCCTGGCCGGCGAAAAGCTACAGGTCTCTGTATGTTTGGGCTTCAAGTCGGTTTAACTAGGCGCAAATGCTGATGGCAACAACCTCCAGGTATATCTCATACTACATCCCGTTCTTTAACTGGATACCTCAATATCGTTGGTCGTTCCTGCGCGGCGACCTCATCTCCGCCTTGACAATCGCATCGATCTATATCCCAATGGCTCTTTCTTTGGCCTCGAATCTTGCTCATGCACCTGCAATCAATGGACTTTACTCTTTCGTGTTCCAACCTTTTATCTACGCAATCCTTGGAAGTAGCCCCTTGTTGCTTCTCGGCCCAGAAGCGGCTGGGTCTCTGTTGACAGGTACCATTGTCAAATCGAGTGTCTCGCAGGGACTGTCACGAGAGGATGACGAAGCTGCAAGCGCTATGGTTGTCGGCGTCGCAACTGCCATGGCAGGCTCAATGATACTCGTTGCTGGATTGACCCGGTTAGGATTCCTAGACAATGTCTTGAGCCGACCGTTTCTCAGAGGCTTCATCACTGCAATTGGCTGTGTCATTTTTGTCGACCAGCTCATCCCAGAAGTGGGCTTGGCTGACCTGGCGAGGGATGCGGGCGTCAGTCATGGAAGTACAGCAGAGAAGCTCGTCTTCCTGCTCCGGAATCTCAAGAGCTGCCATGGTCTGACAGCCGCAGTCTCCTTTACCAGCTTCACGATAATCATGCTTTTCCGGTACGTGATCCCCTCCCCGCCCAATGGAATGGTTGAGTCTCTAACATGCGCATCGCACAGAACACTCAAGAAGTTCCTGGAGCCACGGTTTCCTCAGGTTGTCTACTTCCCCGACCGGATTATCGTTGTCATCTTGTCAGCCGTTCTTACCTGGCACCTCGGCTGGTATGAGAAGGGGCTTGAAATCCTCGGGCCCGTCCAGGAGACAGGCAATGGGATCTTCGCGTTCAACTGGCCTTTCCAATTCCAGCATATGAAGCATGTACGGACAGCCTTGAGTACGTCCTTTGTCATTGCATTGCTTGGCTTCTTTGAGTCCTCCGTTGCTGCCAAAGGGCTGGGCGAGAAACGAGATGGAGTGCAGGGCATGCCCGTGAGCGCCAACAGAGAAATGGTGGCGCTGGGCGTTGCCAATGTTGTTGGTGGCTGTTTCATGGCGCTTCCTGCCTTCGGTGGTTACGGGAGAAGCAAGTTGAATGCTTCCACAGGGGCGCGATCCCCGATGAGCAGTATCTTCTTGAGCATCATCACCGCCGTCTGTATTAAGGTGATCCTGCCTTATCTGTACTATTTACCGGTGAGTTGCTCCCTATACTCATACGATTCGATTACAAACTGACGGCATATTCCAGAAAGCTGTGCTTTCCTCTACAATCTCAGTGGTGGCATACAGTCTAATAGAGGAATGTCCTCATGATGTGGCTTTCTTCATTCGCTTGCGTGGTTGGACAGAGCTGACATTGATGATTCTTATCTTCGGCTCGACAATCTTTTACTCCTTAGAACTGGGCATTGCGCTCGGAATCGGATTGTCTATTCTGATTTTGATTCGCCACTCCACCCAGCCTCGAATCCAGATTCTTGGTAAGGTCGCTGGTACCAATGATCGATTCGACAACGCCGAACTCCACGGGGAAAACGTGGAGCTCATCGAGGGTGCGCTTATCGTCAAGATCCCGGAGCCCCTGACGTTCGCCAACACCGGCGACTTGAAAAATCGTCTGCGCAGACTCGAATTCTACGGCACCAACCAAGCGCACCCTTCCCTCCCGCGCTCGCGACCCCCCGAGCATAACAAGAACATCATCTTCGACGTGCATGGGGTCACCAGCATCGATGGCTCCGGGACACAGGTTCTCTCCGAGATTGTGAATGAGTATCTCAACCTCGGAGTGAGAGTGTTCTTCTGCCGTCTCCCCAATCGCAATGTCTTCCGCATGTTCGAAAGGAGCGGCATCGTCGACCGCTGCGGCGGCATGCAATATTTTGTGCACAGTGTTGATGAGGCACTGAGACTTGCCGAAGCAGAGGGTGGACCCTTGGAGCCTTGAGCTCCCCGTCGCAAGGCGAGCCAAGTTTGCCTCTGGGAGGGTGGTTCGCGATTGGTTCTCCCTTCCGTCATCAATGCCATGTATAGACGTGACACGTGTTCCCAATCTATCGCTTGACAGTTTTTTGCTGGTTATAGCCTCCGTTAGATTTGCTGATAGCCATGGGGTGCCCTAGAGCTCCAACCCTTGGTAATTTGATTAGAGCTTACCTTTTTCTTCTCTGCGTAAGGTTGTCATGCTTCATTCAGCCTTCAATGGGCCCATAGCTCTCACCCTTCACCCCGGCTGCTCGCCGCACCACGTCTAGAAGCAGCATCTCAGCGGCGCGTAAGGCAACCCGGTCCTCAAGACTCAACACAGTAGCGCCAGCAGCAGGAGGAGGAACCCCCCTATCCTCGTGTTCCTCGTCCTCGTCCTCCTCCTCATCCTCAGCACCCACCTGCCCAGCACCAGCACCGGCACCAGCACCAACACCAGCAACCCCAACCAACTTCATCTTCCCATCCGCGCCCAACATAAACCCCCCACAACTAACCCTCGTCACCCTCACCACATTCCCACCCCCAAGCCCCTTCCCCTCTTTCAAATCCACCCTCATCGCCAGATGCGTATCCAAATACCCGGCGATCTTCCCCAACACATCCCCACCCGCGGACTGATCCTCCTCAGAAACCCCCCAAACGAAACCCCCAACCACCCCCCGTGGCAAACAAATATCTAAGCCGCGCAACCCCGGCGCCACCGGCCCCTGAAACCCCAGCATGATGTGCACATCCCGAACCACTGCCCCGACCACCTCTTCACCTCCACCCTCCACCCCAGCCCCACCCTCAACTTTGCGAGCCTCCTCGCGAACGCAGGAGAGATACCCCTCCAACGAACCACCCAAGAACCCAGACGGGAGGGTCAAGCTCGCGGCGTACGTGTCGAACGTCGCAGATAGAAAGGCCAGGAAGGTGTGGCGGAGCGGAGCGGGGAGTTTGGTGAGGAGGAGGGGGAGATGGGTTGTTTGGGTGTGGGCGTGCGAGCGGAGGGTTCGGTGCGGGGCGTGGGAGCTGGAGTGGGAGCTTGATCGGGAGGGGGCGCTGGTTGTTTTGGAGGTAGTAGAGGTGGAGGATGCGGCGGAGGGCGTGAGGAGGGCAGCGCGGTAGGTTTGGGTTTCGTAGGTGAGGGTGATTAGGATGCCGGCGCCGGGGGTGCCGGGGGTGGTTGCTGGGCGGCGCGGGCGGCCGCGGGGGCGGGAGGGGGTTGGATCGTTGTTGTTGTTGTTTGCGGTAGTGTTGTTTGTGGAGGGCGAGGGTGAGGGCGAGGGCGAAGGGTTCGTGGTGGATCTGGCCCTGGTGGTGGTGGTGGTTGTATGGCCGGACAAGGAGAGCGTGGGGATGGGTTCCCAGGTGCAGGAGAGTAGGGCGCCGGCTTTCGACCGGGGGTCTGCTTCGTCGGAGGCGCCGACTGTTTGGGAGGTTGCGCCGGAGACGGAGGAGGTGCCGTTGAGGTGGTCGCGGAGGCGGGCTGCGTAGGTCTTCAGGGCGTGGTGGTTGTCGAGGAGGGAGGGGAATTCCTTGCCATGGTGCAGCGGGGAGAGTCGGTGTAAAGTCCAGGTTGTGTTGAGGAGGCTCAGTTGGGCCATTGTTATTTTGAATTATGGTGTTTATTATGTTTTGTGTTTGTAATGGTGGAAAAGAGAGGGAGGAAGACAGGGAGGGAGCGGAGGAGGGGAGTTTCACATGTCGCGCCGGACTTGGTAGATGTACTGAGTACTCCGTAAGTTCGGAAGAAAAACATCTCTTGGCAGGGAAGAGCTGCCGTTAACCTTAATT